GTCGCCTCGCGGAGTAGCCGGCGCAACAGATCTTCCGGGGAAGTGCCCGCTTGCGTCGCCAGGTCCAGTAATTCGCCAGGCTCCCCAGCGGCGCAAGCCAGGACGTGCTTCGCCGCTGTGTGCCACAGTTGCTGCGCAGAGGTCTGCACGCGGGGCGGCCGCAACCGGGTGGACTGCAGGCAAAGGCCGACGGCAACCCCCACCCCCCCCCCGCCAGCGCCCCCAAGCAAAACCACCCCCAGGACAAGCACCAGGGGCCCCAACCTGGGGGGTAGTACGTCGGGGAGGCGCCCGCACAAACCAAGGCAGCATGTGCCATGGCTTCGCGGCATGTGGGAGGCAACTGGGCCAAAGATGGCGCGGCTCGCAAGGCCTCGCGAGTCGCCCACTGCCCCCAACTCCACAACAGAGCGAACCCTGGGGCCATGTGGCCGCGCGGTGACGCCTTGGCTACTCTACTGCGACCCTCCAGCTGCGCGCCTCGCGCCCAGGAGCAGTCACGGCCCTCTAGCTGCACCGCAATGCCCAAGAGCGGCCGACAAATCGTATTCTCAATGGCCTAGCAATCATGCAGAAGGCTTGAGCCCTTGAGCCAGAAACTTTCTTGAGCCAAAATGGCAGTCAAGTGTCCCGGTGTCGGCGCACGCAGGGATGCCCTCACAGCCTACTGGGCGCTGGCGGCAGGTGGCCTGCCAGAAGCTCCCCGAGCGGAACCTCGTGGCCGTCCGTCGGGTCACGGGGCCCCACGATGGGCAGCTCGAAGCGAGCAGGCGTGCGCGCGAAGTGCGGCGAAAGATGCCAGTGCCGTCCAGCGCCGCATCAGCGCTTGCCTCGCCCCTGCGGGTGCCGACAGGGCTGCCCAAAACGAGCAGTCCTTGTTTCGCCGCCGGCAAGCTCCAGTCCCCTCGCCAACACGAGACGCCATCCTCCCCGGGCGGGATCCGCGACCAGTCCCGTTGGCTCCTCCCCTGCGGCGTTCCAGGCCCGGGTTTTCTCGTTTGGGCGACGCGCAGCACATCCAGGGTTCGTTCCGGGTCCGACGTGAGGTACACGTCATCCAAAAACGCGAACAGGCCTTCCCCGTGGCCGTGCGTAGCGCGCGTACCAAGGCCTCGGGGCCCGCCGTCGTGCTGAGAGTGCACTGGAAAGGGGCACAGGCCTGCTTGAACTGCTCCGCAAACTGTTGCGCGAGTGTGCGACTCCTCCTCGGCAGCGCGCAGGCGGCGAGTTCTGCAAGGCACCTTGCAGCGGCATCGGGGCGAGGAGCGCGCAGAACGGGCAAGGCATTGGCCCAAGCAACCCCTCAGTAAGCCGCAGGGGCGGTACGTTCGGCGCACTGGAAGCCACGGCCACCTAGGCGAGCAGCTCGGCGAGGCCGTCCACCCCGCGTTTTGCCGAGGTTCGCGGCGACGCCTGCCTGTGCTTCCATGCGGGAAGTGACGTACGCGTGCCGTCGTGGTGACAAGGTAGGCGTCGTGGAGCAAGGCCGCTAGACACTCGCCGGGTCGTCGAGCAACAGCTTGCAGTGCTCGCACGTTGCGCCCGACAACCCAGCAGCGGTGCCGTCCGCAGAGCTTGAGCGATGGCGGCGTCAGTGGGCATTGCCAGTGAGCCCGGCTGGAAGTTTAGGAGGTCGCGCAGGGGCACCGGCGGGCCGGATCGGCCAAAGCGGCGAAGGTTTCGTCCGTGCCAGGAACGGTCGCTGCGGAGGTCAGGGCACCGCGGCAAAGGACTTCGCCCCGTCGTACGTTTGCGCACGCGTGTGCCCGGCGCCGTTCGCGAACGGCCTCCTCATCGGCAGCGTCAGCGACGTCAGCTGCCAGTTTAGCACGTGGTGCGCCCGCGGCTGCGCGGGCGGCGCCAAGCAAGGCGTCCCAACGTCCAGGGAGGAAGTCCCGCGAGCGTTGCAGGAGGGCCTCGCGGCCGACTGTGCCCGGTTCGCGAGCGCAGTGGAGCAGCAAGGAAGCATGACAGCCTTCTTTTCAAGGCACTTGGGGGTGAGGGCCTGGGACGAAGGCTAGTTAAGGTACCCCCACGGAAGAGCTTCCGTCAACATGGCATCAACTACGCAGCAGGGCAAGCACACGCAAAGGCAGCAGGCCGTGTTGGTGTGTTGCTTTGCTCTGCGGTGTTTTAGCATCTTCCGGAGGGCTCTTTTTTGAAACGCATGACACCACAACAGATGTTGCACTCACCAGGCGAAGTCTGAAGTCTGTCCAAGCCAGCTTTGAGGGACGCCAGACTCACATCAACATCAAGGCTTCTGAGTCTTTTCTTGGGGGACTTGGGAAGTTTTCGAGGGCCTGGGATCCACAGCACCCAATATACGAAAGAAATGAACGCCAGCCCGTTTCCCCAAAACCTGTGTTCGCCACCCGGAAACGGACCGGGTTTGCTGCGTTTCGTGGCGGAGCCTCCGGCGGCCCTGTATACCCTTCAGGTTGTAAGCTTCGCTTAGGTAAGATACTCCGCTAGCTCCTCAGGGACTAGCTTTCGTGACATGTGGAGGATGGCTCAGTAGACGTCCTCAATGCGGTTTCGCATGCGTTTCGCATGCGTTTCGCATGCCCCGCAATGCGGCTTCGCAATGGGTCTTCGCCTCCTAATCTTCGCCGACTGTGCCCTGTAACGGCTTTTGGTCGATTCAACCTCTCCACCCCCTCCCTAGTCGATCTTTCTACCTGAGTCTTGCACGTGAAAGATATGTGTTTACTCTTGTTTGCCTGGGCCTGGGCCCCTGAGGGGCCACGGGCATGCAGGTCTGACTGACTCAATGGCACAGGGGCGCGCAGGACGCAGCTTGTCCGGCAACTTCTGGCGGCACAGGCGGCACGGTTGCACTGGCTATTATTGCGGTTGGCTTCAGCGTCGGTGCGCCCGCACGGCAGCCCACGCGGCACGCTTACTGGGTAGTTTTGAAACTTGGCGTGGTTGTCGCCAATTTGGTGCCCTCCCGACGCGGTCGTGCCCATTCAACCGCAGTCAGAACCACCCATGCAGAACAGCTCCTCCGCTGGCACTCGGGCACAGCCGGGTTTTTCGAAAGAGCAACATTCTCAGCGCGAGCAAATAAAACTTCCTCCCGTCCATTTCACCCGCAGCATCGGTGTTCTGCCCGAGCTTCGGCACCCCGCGATCGCTGCATCCACATCGGGCCCCGCAGGACCGCCGTCGTCATGCACGGAAGTACACCGCTGGAGCGCCAAGGGCCTATGCGCGATGGCCCTAGTGCCCGGCAGAGCACATTCGCAAGGCCTCGTGCGAGCTCGCAGCCGGGAAGTAGCCAGGGAAGCGAACGCGGCAACGGCCACCTGCATTGGGACGCCCCGCCAGCGGCGCCGGCAGACTGAAAGTCCTGCATCGGCGGTAACACGAAAACCATGGCAACGATTTCTATGCCCGAGCAGCTTCATGCTCCAGCGGCCCCGCTGCGTGAAGCAGGAGCGGCACGCAAGTTGCTGGGCAGTGTGCTTTGTCGTGGGCCGCGCGGTCGCTGTGCAGGGGCCACGCGTAGGGTTTCGCAACATTGCCAGCGTGCAGCATTAGCTCGGCCGATGCTCGAAAGGAAGCCATGCAGCCTGCGGGAAGATGCTGGGTAGGCCCGTTTCGCTGCGACGCCGACGGTGGAACAGCGTGCAACCCAACCGGCGTCCTAGAAGCCCAGCACGGTAATTATCCCTTGCCTTGTGGGCGTTTCTTATCTGCGCGTTCCACCACAAAGAAAAGAAGAATACATCGCCGTTTCTTGGGACCCAGCAGTCCAGCACTTTTCTGTTGTTGTCTCTGAACATTGTCACTACCGAAGCCCAACGAGTAGCCCATGCTTTCCGGATTGTCCTGTCCATGTGCCACGCCGTCTCTTAAGTGTAGCACAATTTCTTTGTGCTTTCCGGATTGTACGGCCGCAGGTTTCACCACGAAAACCCTGCCGTTTCTGAAGCCAATTGTCAGTGCACGTGCTCCACTTGCGGACACGTTGTTGCTTCCTCAAGCCTTGCGCCGTTTAATGGTTTCCAGATGTTCTGCTCCGCGCACTCCACCGTGAGAACATGCGAAAACATTGCTGCTTCCTGCAGCCTACAACAGTTTGTCTTGTTGTTTTCGGATTATTCCGCTAATTGCTTTCCGCTTTTGCCGGTCCACGCGTTTCCACCGCGAAAACACTGCCATGTCATGAGGCTAAACAAATTGGTCCATGTCCTCGGAAAAGTTGACGATTCTGTTGAAGTCAACTCCTCTGCGGTTCAACTCCTCCGCGGTCTTAGAGCTCTTACTCTTCTGCTGGCCAGATATCCCGACTGACACGGCTGTTTCTACGTGTCGGATTTCTGCAACTGATCTCCGAGGATGTGCAACTTTGCATGCTGGGCTTAAGCCTCGATCCACTCAGGACTTCGCTCAGAGCACCGTGTTAACACCTAAGAAGCTCATCTGATGCGGACGTGTGCATCGACTCCGCGGTGGGGGAAGTCGTGTGCCGTGCTTTGCGAGCAATTACGTGCGCACGAGCGAGCTATAGGAGCCTTCACATTCCTGTTGAGTTCGAGCATTCCATTTGCCAAACTTGAGAGATTTGTGGATTTTGTGGTTGGGTGACCAACGGGCCGCCTCGTTCTGCATGCCCACAGCACATTGACCAATGCGCAGGGGAGGCAAGCTGGCTGGGGGTCACGTGGCTAACTCAGCCAAGCCCGCCTGAGCTGCGTGTGTCGCGATGGCTCCTAGAAGGTGACGAGTGGCAACCAGATAACTAACAACTTGGGGAGAACTTCGACGCATCTAGGTAGCACGACGTTTGAAGCTGCGATTGCTGCTAACTGTGCTAGCCGTCGCGCTTGGCGGGGCTGACTTAACCTGGTCTTTCCGTCAGTCTCGAAGTTTAGCGAAGTTTCCCTCGTTTTCCTTTTTTTCCTGATGTTCGCGTTTGCGTGCTCCACCGCGAAAACGTTGCCATGTCCTCAAGCCTTCAACTGTAGGCCCTTCCCTCTTTTTTGGCTCTCTCAGGGCTCAAAGAGCACGGCTCGCTCCAGCGGCTGGTCTGGGTCATCCATCAGATACGTCCGGGTGACGGGCGGGCACCTCAGCACAGGGAATTCGAAGATCAAAAGCTCGCTGGGGGGGAAGGGGGAGGAGGGGAGGAGGGGGGAGGGGCCGAAAATCTGCTCGGAGCAACTTGGAGGCAAGGCGCAGGAGGAAGAAGGTTGCAAGGATCCCCTTTGCAAGGGTGAACCGCAGCCCTGCGCTGATGATCACCTTGCACGAGGTGTTCAGCTGCTCCCATCCTGGCGATCCGCAGGGCTCATTAAAGGGATGCCAGCCTTTGCATCTTTGGGAGATACACAAGAAAAAAGACACGGCGGCTGCGTGGGCGAGGCGCGCTTCTGTCGAACAGGATGCGCGCCCCATTCCGCCACAGTGGTCACCATCTGCATCGATGGCGCACGCAGCGTGCGCATGTCGTACATGATGGAGAAGCCTCTCGGTGAGGAATCGGTGCACAAAACACAGAAGTAACACGTTCGCCATGTTTTTGTTTCCCTGTTTTCCTCTCCCCACTGCCCCCCCCCCTCCGCCTTTCTCTCTCAGTCTCTCCCCCCGTTTCTCTCACGAACTCCTCGCCTCGCTCGGCGCTGGGCGACAGCGTGAAGGCATCCATGAAGTCCATCATCTCGTGCAGGCCATCCATGTCCAGGTCTCCTGGCACAGAGAGCCTCATGAGAAGCCCTGTTTGAAGGCCTCTGCTGCAAGTCTCTAAACCAGGACTCGTGCAGGTCCTTCTAAGCCCTGGATCCGGAGGTAGCCCTCCTTCCCATCGAAGCCCTGGCTGACGATGGCGAAGCCCACATTCAAGCTGGCCGGGATGCGCCCGTCCTCCCACAGCATTTGCTCTGCTAGAATCTGCTACACCAGAGAACCGGATAGAGGCACCAAGAGTGGTCCTTGTACTTGGAGACCCTGCTGCCTCGACTGGCGCTTCGAAAGTTTTGACAAACCAGGGAATCCCCTATGCGGATGTGCTCAGCTGCTAAGACTTCCAATCATTTGGCCGCGGCACCATTGTCCGCCGTGGGGAGGTGCACATGGCCCTCCATGTCCTTGTGGGTGGCGACCTCTTGTTGCAGGTCCTCCTCCAAGCGCGCGAACTTCTGGATCTCCTGGAGATGGTCAGCCCTCTGGTGGCCCTCTCTCATGCCCCCTTTCTCCCTCTGTGAAGCCTGGTTGGGCTCGAAGATCTTCATGTCCGGGTTGCCCTCCTGACCGGGTCTCTGGAAGCTCTCGGGATTGGGGAGTGAGATGGGAAAGCATTGAGAGCATGCCCGGAAACGGTTGCGAACTCTTCGTGGAGAATAGGTCTTTCCTCGATGCTCGGGTGCTCGTCGGTGAGGAGGTAGGTCGGGCAAGGCGGCGGGTAGAAAGCAAAGCCCGCCTGGAGAAGGTAGCGGTCCACCTCGCAGGAAGGAGATCGACGCGACACTCCGCCCCTCTAAAGCGCCTTCCCTCTCTCCAGGCTCACCTGAAAAAAGGTGGCGGCCGGGCAGAGGATCTTCCAGCGCTTGCCTGATCACCGGGCAGCTGTGAAGTGCTATCAGCTGCTATGACTGGGACACCTACCACACACACACCCCCCTGCATCCCCCCCCCTGCATCCGCAGGTCAATGCGGCCACTTTCTGCTCTGGTTCACCCTGGCTTCTTCGCACTGGTTTCTGATTCGTAGTTGCAGATGCGCAGGCTGATTTCTGTTCTTTTCACTGATCTGCATCCGCAACTCGAACCACAACTGCGGCAAGCGGTGAACACTCTCAAACTATCCCATAACAAATCATATATCACTGCCCAGCCGCAGCGTTCAGCGAACTTCGAGGAGCGGCCCGGCTCACAGCTCCAGCAGATCACCTCCCAGGTCCGTATGTTGCGTTGCTGCTTTGTTGCTTGTTCTTTTTTTGTTCGGCAAGCTGGATCTACAATCATTACGGCACACTTTTTTGCCCACTTCGGGTGGCTCCGAACTGTCTCGCGCCTGCTTGAGGATGTCCGAGTGCGATGGGCCTGGAGAGCTGCAGAAATATATGGCTTTGGTAGCCTCGAGGGTGGTCTAAGAATGATTTGCACTGGACTCCTGATGCTTGTAGCTTGTTATTTAGCCTTCCCCTGGCTACCCCCACCCCCTCTCTAGCTCCCAAAACTCCTCATCCCGGCTTTGTTCTGTCATCTCCTACGCCCACGCAACGTACGAGTATGTGCATCGCACTTTGCATGTCGAAACGAACATTCCCTAACCTCATCTGATAATGACATGCTGACGTAACCCTCACAAAGGCTTTCTTCACAGCCTGGTAAACAAGGTAAAAACACATCCCCCTTTTTGGGGTTCGGGCCGAGAAATGCCATCTGCTCAAAGGAGATCTGGAAGCCCTCACCCGATGAGGCTTGGGGAAGGTCAAGGACGAAGTCCATGTAATCCAGCCTCAGCATTGAAGTGCTTCACTGAGCAGTATCAGTATGAGGACCTCATGTCCTCTGATCTTTTTGGATCTTACAACCATGTCCTGCCCTCGTTTGGGCTACACTGTAGCCCCAAGCCGCGGCCCGAAGACAAGCCAGCAAAGCCCTGTTAACTGAAGCGCAACAAGGGCAACATGGCCGTGAGCCCGTCATCAGTGACGTCCTGGTCCTCGGCCGCCGTGATGCGCAGCTCCAGCTTGGGCACCTCCTCTGTCTCCTTCGCTCAAGGTGAAAGTGCGACTTGTCTTGGCATCTGCGGACCGCAGCTCGGCAAAACAAGATGGCGTCTTGGCGTGTGCTCCCTCGCGCCTTCAGAGTGACCACTGCGAAGCCCACACTCCTAAGATTGCAAGAGTCGGAGTACGAGATTTTTGGGTTTTTGGGGGCTGTGCATGTGGCTGTACATGGGCTGGCTGGCTGTGTGTGTGTGTGCACACTCGCGGTTTCTGCGAAAAGTGGAGCCTGCTATCTGCTGCAGGGTGGCAGGGGAAGTGGCAGCCGCACCTTGGGCGGAGGGGCCGGCGCCTCATCCGGCAAGCGCGGCGCTGCAAACCTCGGCCCGAAGTAGCTGGATTTGCCAGAAAGACTTTGGTGTCAGGATCGCGGCCCATTTCACACCCCCCCTTGCCCGGCCCAGTGGCTGGAAGCAGCCGCAGTCGACAAAACGCTGGCGAAGAGCTGAGAGGAGGCCGGCCATCCCCGAAGTGCCACCGGCCGGACCCAGCAGTATCTGCTAAAACTTTCCCTGGCAGTGCGAGGGTTGAGGATTGATGTGCAGCAGGGTCAGAGGCAAACATGGTTTTCAGTCCTGGCTGTTCGGAAGCGACTCAACAATCAACCACCTGCTGACACAGTGGTGCTACGGGTTGCAAAAAAATTGCACTCGAGCGTTTCATCGTGTTTCATCAATAAGAGTATGGCCAAGCAGCGCTATGTCATGTAGAGCCAGACGGCAGCGATACACAAGGCTGAGGGGCCGTCCAGCACTGTGGGGAAGTTCAGGGTTTGGGACGGTCGCAAGATCTCCTCCATGCAAATTGCTGCACACTTATACTGCGCTGTCTAGGATGCAGACAGTGAGCCACCTGTTTGTTCACACTACACATGTTCTCAACATGCGCAAGACTGAATCGTTTTCTTAAGAAGCCATTGTTGGGGTACCGGTCCTAGCCCTTCGTAGCAGTACAGTCGCTCAAGACATGGCCCCACGAGGAGCTTTCCCAACATCCAACAAGACACACCCAGGGCGTCATAGCAGATGTCGTTTGTGACTCTCATGGTGCCTGTTTAGTCGATTCAGGTTTACATCTACAGGCCCAAGTCGAGAAGAAAAGGAAGCTGCCAAGCCAATCGATAGCTTCGATAGCTTCAATTTTGTTGCTGGCGCTAGGTCTTGGATCGCGGTCGCAGGGCAACTGCTGCCCACAAACACGGGTGGCCCGACCACGCCGTCACAGGCAAAGCGCAGCTCGCTGGATGTGGCTCATCCCTGTTCAAGATGGAAGTCACGCTGCCAAGCTCGTTGCCTGTAGGGGTTGAGCTTCTGGGTGTGCCTTCGCTCTGAAATGCGTCGGACGGTTGTTCCAGTAAGCTAGCATGCTTTCGACTCGCTCCGAGTCCTGTACGGAGCACATCAAGGCCGCATCATCAACTCAACATGCTCCAGGATCCTGGCTACTGTCCGAACTATCGGGATCTTTGAGGAAGCCACGGGCGAATCCTCAAGACCTGGCAGAAGCTGGCCAGAACGCAAGCTAGTTAGCAGGTCGCCCGTTTGGATGCGCCTGTGAAACCACTATGGACCATGGACAATGCAGCTCGTGGTTGCTGAAGTGATTTCAAGAACCGAACGCTGCGCGCTTGCAAATGGTGAGATCGGACGTCGTTCGTCAGGCCTTCAATCGGCTTGAACACTGAAACCAGTCCTGCAGCAGGTTTAGGCATTCATGTAGGGTGCGGCTTGCGCGGCCATTGCAGAGGCAGGCCGCCTCAAGTGTAAGCCTCAAACCCTGATTTTGCACGCTTCGCAATCGGTTGGGCCGGCAGCCGTGAACGTGCGCATTATCGCTTCCACTCCGGTATTTTTTGGCCAGAATTCCGACCGCGCACTTCGACCTTTAACTTGTCAACGCTCCAAGCCGCCACGCTACCTCCAGTGGTCTAGCCGAAGCTGAGTCACCCCCAAGAATGACTAGTCTAATCGCCCATTCGGATGCGCCGGTCGGACAAATGCTTTTCAAAGGCTTCGCGACTCTCTTCAAGACCTCACAGAAGGGGTGTATGGAGGAGTTTAGGGTTTAGGGTTTAGGGTTTAGGGTTTAGGGTTTAGGGTTTAGGGTTTAGGGTTTAGGGTCTAGGGTTTAGGGTTTAGGGTTTAGGGTTTAAGGTTTAGGGTTTAGGGTTTAGGGCGTGTAGGTCGTATTCACGTCGTATTCGCTCGCTCGGGTGTGAAACACCCCGAGCCGCTCGCTCTAGCTTAGCTGAGTGACACCCACCCTAGACCCACCCAGACTCAACTCTTTCAGGGTTTCTACCCCCAACCCCCTATCAAGGGGGCTTACTTGTTTGTTTTCTTCTTAATGGGGTTTTAGGGGGCGCAACACCAACCAGCCATTTCGCGTTTGGGGTCGGCCCTTGACGGGTAATAGGTTTTTACGGGCTCGACCTGTTCTCCATTCTGTTTGTCGCGCCAGCTTTGTTTGACCCTAAACGAAGCAAAAGCATCATCATGAGCATCGCAGTGCCCACACCACCCCCCCCCCTTTTACGGCTTTGGCTCCGATGTCCAGGCCAGCCAAGCCTCAGTGGAAACGGCAGACTAGCTGCAACTTGTCGTTTATCTTGCGGAGGTGCTCAAGCAAGAGGGTTGCCTTTAACGCGGAGGCATTACAGATCAAACGCTAGCACCAAATCAGCATGGTTCGTTGTTCCGTCAAAGTCATCGCCACGACAAAGTCGCGTGGATGCCTTTTACCGTCAACTGCTTGTCGGGAGCCGTTGATTTGACTTGCGCCGCGCTCGAAAAAGGATTCGACAAGTCAGCGCGCAGGCCAACTAAACATAGATGCGATTGCCAGGTCAACCTACCTTGGCACGGGCGCATCAGACCACTCAGGATACCTATTGACAGCTCAACACTCCTTGGCACCTCCTCCCACACAGAGTTGCGTCAACGCAATAGCGACCCGTGACGCGTGTGTATTATGTTTCGGAGTGGAGCACGGTTCAACCCACGGCTGCATCAGACCGCTCAAGATGTCACGCCAGCGGCGCACTTCACCTTGGAACGACGACTCGCGTGCTCCAGAAGTTGAGGCCTGGGCCGTCCAGCGCGACATCAGGTCCGTAAACCGTTGGACAAAGGAGAAGCCTGCGGTCGTGATTCACAGGCTCAGCGTCTGCTGCTGTTCGTTAATAAGAGAAACAAATCCCCTAACAGCTATAACATAACAAATTCCAAGCTGAAAAGACCATCTACTTTGTCCCTCTTTAGCTTTGTCTTCACACGTTTCTTCGAAACCTCTCTATAGTGGTGTACAAAAGACCCCGATAAATTGACCACATTCCTAGACCAATTCGTTCCAGCATTACACATGATTTTTGCTGGATCCTTTATGAGCTAGTTTTAACTTAACAGCTTCAAATATGACAAGGATTCAAAGGAGGAGTGAAAACATTGATGATGTTCCACAGTGAAACTGTTGTGAACAAGAGAGAGAGAGAGAGAGAGAGAGAGAGAGAGAGAGAGAGAGAGAGAGAGAGAGAGAGAGAGAGAGAGAGAGAGAGAGAGAGAGAGAGAGAGAGCGGAACGAACCCCTCATTTTCCGTCACTTGCTTATTCTTGTTATGGCACATTTTTCTGGATCATTAGTCTTATAAGTGTATCCTCGCTCCCTCCATCAAAAAATTTTTTGTAAGGCGAGCGTGGTGTGTTCGTTCCTTCTCTCACACCCTAATGACGGTCATGTGTCTCCTCGAAAGATGAAGTGGGCATTTGTCTAGCCTTTACCTTTGATCTCTGGTTCACTCCTTTGGTCTTGAGTGTAGGGTTTGGGGGTTGAAGGCTTCAAAGGGCCCAGTAGCCAAGGAGCATTTCCGGGTTCATGCCCTGCATGGCGTACGGCACGCACCCTGCCAGGGCATCGTGCGAGGCATCGGACAGGTGGTCGGTGCCTGCAGACAGGGTTTACGGGTTCGGAGCTTTACCTTGGGTTTGGGGCTAGGCGGGGTTGGAGGGCTCAGGGCAGATTTGCACGCCAGGGGTTGTGACTGTAGGGGCTCCGCCCGAATACTGGGGTGGAGGGTTTAGGGTTCAGGGCCTGTTATCACGCCGTTTCTGTCGAAGGACAACGCTCCAAAAAAAAACCAAGGAAGCAAAAAAGAAAGAAAGACGGACCAACAAACCCTCTGCCCCAAGGAAAAGACATGACATCGCAAACCCTAAACCCCAAACAAAAAGAGCGCCCCTGAGTCTTGGCTGTGCTCACCTCCTCGGCACGCTGCTCCCAGTTTTGAGCTGCCGCGAGAAGGGAATCCTTGCATTTCTTGAAGTAGGGCTCAGGGTTGGGGTAGGGTGCGGGGTTTCGGGTCGAGGGTCGAAGGTCGAGGGCCGAGGGTCGAGGGCCGAGGACGAAGGCTTCCATTGCTTCTTGGATCTTCTGATCTTATGGGGATGAGGGTTGAGGGTTCAGTGTTAAGGGTGTGGCCCAGAGCTTCAGGTGTATGGGTTAGAGTTGAGGGTTGAGGAGTTTGAGGTTTAAGGCTAGGTAGGGTTGCTGTTGTCTTAGAGGCCCACTTTAAACAAGAGAAATAAATCCCGTAACAGCTATAACTCACAAATTCCAAGTTCAAAAGACCATCTAGTTTTCCCTTATAAGCTTTGTCTTCACACGTTTCTTCGAAACCTCTCGAACGGTGCACAAAAGACCCCGTTAAAATGACCATGCTCATAGTTTTTTTGTGGATCGTCAATTCGTTCCAGCATTACACATGGTTTTTGCTGGATCCTTTTTGAGCTATTTGTAACCTAGCAGATTCAAATATGACAAGGGGCGATGAATTCTACAGGATTCACTCCTCCTTACATTCATAATGTTTCCCCAGTAAAACTAATGTGAATAGTGACGTGGGGAAGGCGAGGACGCTGCTCTCGCGGCGCTCTTCCTCATCCCAAAGCACAGCCAACTGCTCATCGGTCACCCAGAACTTCGGTTGCAAACGCAAGGGCTAAGTAGTCTACACATGTTGCGGCGCTGAGGCACGCACAGCTTCAGCGCTGCCAGTTGGCAGCTGCACCACAGGCAACGCGAAACCTAGCATGATCTCCAGGCAACACGCAAGACTAACAAGCGAACGTTGAACAGCCTGGTGTGACGATCGCATTCACAGAGCCACGGGAGGTTTGTCTGGTGAGTCATCATGCAACAGGCGAGGCCTCTATAGATTCTGCTGCTTCCAAAGGCATGCAGCGGGAGCAAAGGCTAGACGGCCACCGCGCGACAAAGAGCGCTGGCGACGAGTCGAGCCCAAAGGGAACAAAGCGGCAAAAGGCTGCGACCCCTAATCTTTTAACATTCTCGAGGGTGACTCAGCTTCGGCTAGACCACTGGAGGTAGCGTGGCGGCTTGGAGCGTTGACAAGTTAAAGGTCGAAGTGCGCGGTCGGAATTCTGGCCAAAAAATACCGGAGTGGAAGCGATAATGCGCACGTTCACGGCTGCCGGCCCAACCGATTGCGAAGCGTGCAAAATCAGGGTTTGAGGCTTACACTTGAGGCGGCCTGCCTCTGCAATGGCCGCGCAAGCCGCACCCTACATGAATGCCTAAACCTGCTGCAGGACTGGTTTCACTGTTCAAGCCGATTGAAGGCCTGACGAACGACGTCCGATCTCACCATTTGCAAGCGCGCAGCGTTCGGTTCTTGAAATCACTTCAGCAACCACGAGCTGCATTGTCCATGGTCCATAGTGGTTTCACAGGCGCATCCAAACGGGCGACCTGCTAGCTAGCTTGCGTTCTGGCCAGCTTCTGCCAGGTCTTGAGGATTCGCCCGTGGCTTCCTCAAAGATCCCGATAGTTCGGACAGTAGCCAGGATCCTGGAGCATGTTGAGTTGATGATGCGGCCTTGATGTGCTCCGTACAGGACTCGGAGCGAGTCGAAAGCATACTAGCTTACTGGAACAACCGTCCGACGCATTTCAGAGCGAAGGCACACCCAGAAGCTCAACCCCTACAGGCAACGAGCTTGGCAGCGTGACTTTCCACCTTGAACAGCTCTGGGGCAGAAAAATCTGGCATTATGTAGCAAGAATGGGCCGGGACGTTTGAGACGTTTCCGACCTGTCCAGCATCTTTAGTGGATGAGCCGCTGGGCTTTGCCTGTGACGCCGTGGTCGGGCCACCTGTGTCCAAGACCTGGCACCAGCAGCAAAAATCAAGCTATCGAAGCTATCGAATACGTGCTACAAGTGTTACATGTGGCTGAAAATGGCCCTCATTTGTTTCTGTGAACATGTCAATGAGGTGACTACTTCCGTGTCACGGGGCCAGGGTGGCTACTCACAAAGTCGGGCAAAGCTGAAATACCTCAAATACATTTTAGCTGTACCCACTTGCTTCCGTGTTGCCCAACATCACTGTTCTGTGTCGGCTGCAAATGACGCTCATACAAGCCATGTTCGTAGTGCCATACCTGAAGTTTAATCCTTGGCAATGCAATTTGTGCGGCAAGGAGTACAGCTGAGTAGTCCATCAGTGACCGCCGGCTGCCATAGACATGTAATACTGCGGTCTTTAGTGAAGGGTCTGACAAGGAGCAACGAAGCTGAACAATGCTGTATATCATGCTTTGGAGACAACTTGTCAATCCACGCCCTGTGCGTGCTTGACTGTTTCACGCAGCTTGCTGCTGCAACAAGCGGCAGCTGGAGATTCAAAAAGTAATTCCGGCACGAATGAAAAGCCCCTGCAGCATGTTGTTCACACACGGCGGCTTGTTTGGTGCCAGCATCGAAATTACTTCAACTCTGACAGCATGCGCCTATCCGCCAGAAGATGCTGCATGGCAATGTTGATAAGTTGGCTCCACATGCACCACATGCTCCACATGACACACTTCATCGGGCAGTTTTGCACTGACTCCAAGCTTCTGCATTCACAACTCCTACGATCCGGTGAATCCTGTGAAAAGGTCTCTGACCACAATTCTTCAGCGGTTCTGCCCGTGGTAGCAAAACTTTCGGCACCTCATACCACGTTGGGTCACTCGTTCTTGGGCCTGTCTTCACCTGCAACGCAAGCTAAAAGCAGTCTCGCCGCTGATGGAAAGGTTGTGGATTGCCCGAGCCTGGTTTCCTGCATTCAGCTGTCGCACTGGATGAACCCAATAGTCTTCGTATGTCTTCGTCAACTGTATGGCGCGGGCGTATGCGAGCGCAGGCCCCACCGCACATGGCCACATACTGGCCAGATCCAAACAGCCAACGATCAGTGACTTCTGCTGGCAGCCTCCTCGAAACAACCACGCGCTCCGCACGTGAACACTAGCAGTCACTACCCAGTAGCAGACCACTGGTGGAAGGCCTTTCCTGACGAGTCACTGACGTCAGAAGCGGGCGAAGTGCTTGGCAGATCCCAGTGATGACTGGGTGACAAGACGACATGCCAAATGGATGCAAAAAAAGGTGAGTGCTTCATGCCCGCCGCGCATTGTACACGTATTGATTCTGCCCCACATTCCGCGCAAGAAGGGTGCAGAAACTTCCATTGCACGACGATACAGACGCATGAGCCGGGAGGTTGCTGAGCGGGATTTGTGCGATTTCCAAAGGCCCGCGGGAAGCGTCAACTCTGCCGGGCGCTCCACTTAAGTGCGCTGCTTCGCCGCTTCGAGAGGACATCTCCGTGTAGAGCTGTGGAGCATGTGGAGCTGCAGGTGCTCACGGACGTCGCTGACGACTTTTGACAGAAAAGCTCAGTGTGCCCTGTCAATATTCAGTCTGCTGGAGATCCGCCGTGACCGTGGGTGCAACAGCAGTACATTCAAACCACGCGCGGAGTGCCAGAGGGTGTGCCCGCCATTCCTGCAGAGGCAGAGCAGAATGCTCTTAATTTCCGCTCTTTTCGCATGTGCCGTGCTCTCTTGCTACCCCTAGGCCACCCGTTCTCCCTGTCCCGTCATGGTCCCCCCATTGTGCCCCGTGTCCTGCAGCTTGCGCGTCCGGCAAGAAGTGCTCAGAGCGGAAGGCCACCAGCGACTGGCCCAGGAAGCGGGCACCTGACACTCCCAGGAGTTGGAAATCCGACAAAAACCACCGTGGGAACAGAGCTTACAAAGATACTTGACTTCGACACAGAACATAGAAAGCAACGCACACTGCACCTGGTAGCCGCCAAGCCGGTTCTGTCAAGTTCACTTCAAGGTCACCTGAGAGCTCCGCTTGGAGAGCACTGCTTAGGAGGGCGGGAAGGGGCTCTCTCAATGGGGGCCTCCCAAGATCCGCATGCGCGGGATCCAGGACTTGCTCACCTTTGCCCGCCTCACGGGGCACATGGCCACCCTGAAATTCTTGAAAGTTTCAGAACAACTCAGAACAGTTCAGACCAGTTCAGAACAGTTCAGAACAGTTCAGAACATACGTTCGCTTTAAGGCTTTGATCTGTGGATCTGTGCTTCCCAGACGTGAACCGCCTGCCAGAGGCCTGCAGGTTTCGGCGGTGTGCCGCGCAGGCACGACGCTGGACCTACCCAGTAGCAACAAACAGCTTTCCACTCATATCTGGGCGATCTGGCGATTCTCTGAGCTCCTGGCCAGCTGCGACAGAGACCTCATCTGCTCGCCTTATAAGCGGCTCCAAAGCGTTGGCGTGTGCACGGCATCGCACAACGACACCTTCTTGCACTGTTTCCGATGTGACTGTACTGCAGCAACGAAGCTTGAAGGGCCGAGGGCCCCACGTGAGGCGACGTTCCCGATGGACATAGCGGTAGCCACGGACCTGCAACGCAAGGCTCTTCGCACTCTTCGTGCAGCGTGCTGCACATTCAGGGCCCGGCGGGGCGTGGGCCCTGCGGTACGTGGAGTACGGTAGGTAAGACAAAGCGTGGGGCACCTTAAGGCACAGATGATCATAGATGGCACAGAGTGGAGGGAGGGGGGGACAGCATGAATCTTGTATGCATGTCAGCACTACCTACAACGCACAAGAAAAAGCCGTGGCGCCATGGCAGGCGCATGCAGAAGGATGACACCACAGAAGCGGAGCGTCCTGAAGATATCCACGGCCAGGGCGTTGTGCCACATCAGCGCCAGCCTCTCCTCCTCTGTAGGCCAGTCGTTTCTGTGCGCCTCTGGGTCCAAGCTAATGGGATGGCTCAGGGGTTGGCAGCGAAGGAGCCGCTGGGCCGCCACACCGTTGAGCCAGACCCCGGCAGCCTGCTCCACATTCAGGTCGAAGTACTCGTAGGCGACGCCCAGCGGGGGTGGCGCCTCCGCGCCGAGGTCCACAGGGCCTCGGACGTCCTCAACGTATGGGCCAAGGAACCTTCCTCCGAAGAAGAGGCCAGACACTGTCCGGAGGACGCGCAAAGACTCGAAGACATTCAGAAAGGTTGAAGACGGCGAGAAATCCAGGAAGAGCCAGCGTCGGCCAGGTCCCGGTGAGTGTCGCGATCCCTCCTTCTCGTCCTTCACTTTCACGAAACGCCGTGCCGCCTTCTTGACCTCCCCGAGCCACGAGCTTCCCGTGGCCTGCAGCGCCGCGAAGCTCTGCTCGACTGTCTGCGGCTCCACCTCGGCCGAGGCAGCCAGGGCCTCGACACCCGTGGCCTGCACCTGCAGCTCTCCGAGCCGCGGCACCGCAGGCGTCCAGGATGCCGACCAGCTTACCGGAACCGCCGCATCCGCTGAGTCCGCCATGTCCAACAGCCCCTCCTCCGCCGGCTTCTCGCGGCACGGCAAGGCACCGCCTGCGCATCGGAGGTGGCGGAGCTGCTCCATCCACTCCGGCCAGCGGGGTGCGCGTGAGACCGGCGAAGCAACCAGGGGCACATGCCGGTCCTCGTGGTACCGAGCCACCGGGAGCCCACCACCGAAGAGGAGGAACTCCAAATGCAGCGGATCCTCCTCGTCCTGCGGAGCTCTCGGGGCAAAGGCCCGACAGGCACTCACCGTCTCCGCCAGCGCCTCCACAGACCAGAAGAACCGCCGCGAGTCCAGCGGGCTTTCATCGGTTTCTGGAGAGCGTGCGGCCAGCAGGCAGCGGCGCTCTCTGAGCGGCTGCAGCTGGTTTTTCAAAACCTCCAAAGTCCCGATCATGTCAAGAAAGCTCTGGAATCCAATGAGTCGGTGCACTGCCACGCCCTTCTGGATGTCCAGGAGATTCTCTCCGGGCCGCATGGCCCTGTTCACATCCGGAGCGCAGTGCATGCCGGGATGGTGGACAAGGGGCACTCCGCGGGAATGCGCGCAGAAGCCAATGGTAAGGTCATTGAAAGCCAAAAGCGGACATTCGGGACCCAGCAAACGCGAGGCCAGTACATCATAGGCTGCGGCAGAGACCAGCATGCCAGCTCCGCCACACGGATAATCATAGCCCAGGACGTGCGCATCACTGAGCACATATCCAAACATTGCAGGCACCTGGGGATCATGGCCAGCCAGAAAGTCTAAGAGCACGTCCACCTGTAAGAAAGTGTCGTCGTCCGCCAGCAAGACCCAACGTGGAGGAGTGGCCAATCTGCTGCTGAGGCTGCTGACCTCAGCACCAGCAAGGCAGAGAAGTGCACTACGCCCATTGCCAGAAGCAAGGCCCTGCTCTTTTTTTGTTGCGTGTTGCGAAGCGTGAGACAAAGCTCCCGGCATTGGGGTGGCCGCGCATGAACTCCAACTGCCGGCTCTGGGCATCCCAGTAGTTGCCTTGACTGGCGAGTCACTCTGCAAACACGTGTCATCGTGGAGATCTCAAAAACTCTTGAACATGCTCAGACTCTGCCGCATGTTGTTGCCGTGTTGTTGCATGTTGCATGTTGCATGTTGCATGTTGCATGTCGCATGTCGCATGTCGCATGTCGCATGTCGCATGTCGCATGTCGCATGTCGCATGTCGCATGTCGCATGTCGCATGTCGCATGTCGCATGTTGCATTGCATACTTTGCTGCTGCTGCCGCCGTCTTCGTCGCTTTCGTTGCCTGTCGTGCGAGCGTTCTGCTGCAAATCGTTCACGCTCACAGGTTTACTATCTTTGCAGCGTTCTCAGTCGAGCAGCTCTCGAGGCCATCGAAGCCCCCGCCCGCAGCGCCGCGCGACGTGTCTGGCTGCCACTGCCTGAAGACTCGGCAACAAGCGATCAAAGGGATTGGTTTGCTCGACTCTCATCTCCAGCCCCATGCGCCTCTCGCGTGGAGCCGTGTCCAGCCAGTCATCTACCAGGTAGATCCGCTGCAGGTCCACCCCAGACCTGAACCGACCCCCCAATCACACAAGGCAAACTTGCGCAACCAAGAGGGGTTTATGCAGCTCCTGCCTAAGCTGAGCGAAGCTGAGCGGCAGGCCAGGATTGCTCCAGCAGCGACACACGGTCTTGCCTTCTGACCAGGGACAAGCCTCGAATAGCCTCGAACCTGAAATGGGGCCTAGACACATCTAGGCACCAGCGTCTCAGGGCTTCACAGCGACCGGCTGGCCATCACCAACACCAGCACCTGGCGGTTGCGGCAGGGGTTTGTGTAGGATTGTGAAGGGCTTAAACACAGTTCTTCCAACCCTCTGCAACAGCTCTTTGAACCCGCCTGGCCGGCCGTTGGGCGGCTTCTGCGGTAGCTGACCTGGAAGAGCAGACGTCCACAAATCCTTTGCAGTGGCGTAAAGAAGCAGCGCGGTCAGGCCTGTGCTGCATGGGCTCCGTAGTGCACGGCCTGAGCAGCCTCAAACTCAGCGAGGGTCCTGGCTTGCGAGCGGCTGCAAATTCCCTTGTGAGTGATTGCAAATTGCAAGCATCCTGCACTGACAACTCAAACTTGAAGGCCTGCTCTTGCAAAGATCTCGGTCCCGGAACACGACCATCCCCCGCAGAATGCTGGCCGGCAAGACACGAAGCGATCGCCAACATCTGTCCTGCTTCAGTGGCGGCGATGCTGGAAGAGGACTTCGGGCTATGTGGCTCTGGGGCTTGCAGGGAGAAGTACGTCTTCCAGCATGTCTCAAGCAGCCAACTCGGTACGAGAATGTCCAGACATCGCGAAGCCGCCAGGATGGCTCATCGGCGGCGCCTGGCGCTGTCCTTGGCAGCTCAAAGGTCTTACCTGCCCCATCAGAGACGAATGTCAATTCTGGAGAATCTGAGGGGAGCACGCATGCAAGGAGGACATGGCGTTGCCACCCACCGGGCACAGTAAGGCTCAGGAGGCCCATGCAAAGGAAGTTTAAACGAGTGCTCGCAAAAAGTCCCCCTTTCAAACGACCTGGGGCATCAGGAATCATTGAAGCTACGCGTCGGCTCTCGAACATCAGGCCATGGTCCTATCTTGACATCAGGCTATTCCAAGTCAGGGCCCTGTCCGGCCGCGCCGAAAGATGCTTTGAGCCCTCTCAGGCGGCAGCGGTGCAATTGCTTTGTCCCTCCTACTCAATTCAGTTGGCAGCATGGCTGTTCAGATGCTCCCATGTTCGGGGCTAATTTACATAGGTGCTCTTTTCCGGCGGCAGGTCGTGCATTCGGCACTTCTGGTAATGCCAGTGGACGTCTACACTTTGGAGTAAGAGCCTGACGGCTAAGTAAACTCAAAGTGAAAGCTCACAACTTGGCTCTGCTCGGGCTCTGCTCGTGCTCTGCTCGGGCTCTGCTCGTGCTCTGGCACCTGAGCCTTATCGAAAGCTTTGGGAGGCCGGGCGAAAACCGACAAGGCCAAGGGTCTCACCTTTGTCCGACCCCTTCCCTTTTCTGGGTCTGACCGTGAAACGATGTCAGCCTACGCGTTCAAGAAGCTCACCATGGACCAGTCCCGTCCATCGCATCGCAGGACTAGTCACGCCTGTGGCAAGTCAGACCCCCCATAGTGCCTGCCTCCGCCAAAAGAGACTCAGCACATTCCAGCACAGGAATCACAGGAACCCTCCTGCCCACACATAAGCACAAGTCCCCCTCCCCCTCCCGCACGCTGGGCGCACTTGTCCGGGTCGTAGCGCGGGGAGTTGCGGGGTGTGCCGCTCCGCGGCGTGCCGCCTGCTCCGCTCCGCGGCGTTCCGCCCGGGAGGGCCGAGGAGTTCAGCTCTGAGACCTCCGCTCAGGGGCCAAACACAACGACTAAAGTCGCAGCCTCCCTTCAAATCTCGAAACCGCGACTCGAGACGCCCCGCCTCAAAGAATTCGCCCCGCGAAAGGAAGAGGTGGTTCAGCCACCAGGCGGTGCTGATCCTCGGCACGGCAATCCTACACCCGTCAGCAGAAGCAGCGCATCACCTGCCTCACGTCAATGTCAATATACACCTTATTCTCTTCAAATTCTAACTCGGTATGCGGACAGGCCTCTAACTTATGATCCCTTTTTGGGCTCTTTTGGGGGTGTTGTTATCATGCGGCCGTGTAATTGGCGGTGCCCGGAAAAAAATAACACAAAAAGTGACCACGGTTGCCATGTTCTGTCTATTTGCGCCCAGGTGTCTGCAGGAGGATCAGGCAGCTGGTCAAGATGGGCGGGCGCCAGTACCTTCCGCGCAAAAAACTGGGAGTGTCAGGAGCAAAAAGACATAATGAAACCCTCCATACTAACCTCCATGTCAGCAAGAGGTAGCATGAAGACTGTCCGGGAGCTATCAGGGCATCGCAGGGAGCACGGTGCGAAGAAGGACACCAAGAGCACCACAAGAGGTGGGCCAACGAAGTAGAGCGTGCCTGAGCCGAGTGCCGAAGTGAGGAATGGACGTTTCTGCACACTCTCAGCCCGGCCGATGAAGCCGAACTTCGTCAGGAAGCGCCGGATCCTGGGCCGAGAACACCCTGAACCTCCAACAGCGAAGGAGAGCCCCTTCTGGTATTCTTTGGCACTGCAAGGCGCCCGCCTGAAGGGTGCACCCTGCATGGTACCGCTCAGTGCCCACAAGAAGCCTGCCTCAGTCTCTTCGGGCGCAGGAACTCGCTGTAGACGGATGCGCTTCGGATTCAGGTGCGTGAACACTGCGTGAACTTAACAGTTCAACTTCGGCTCACTTTCGTGTTCTCAGCTTCAGCTCCCGACAAAGAGCATCAGCCGGAGAGCCTGGAGGGATTCGGCAGAATGGCTTAAACTGTCACGGAGTGCCTCTCAAGAGGTCCCCCCCCCCTGCCAGCAGGATCTTCCCAGCGAGGCTCTCGTAATCATGGAACTTGTCCGCATCATCCTGGCAAGCACGGGTTCCCGTAAGTTGGCAGTTGGATGAGGTTGGTCTGGGGTGACGGGGGGTCCTCGCCCTTGATCAGCAGCACCAGAATCACGTGGAGAACAGCACCGATGCCGAAAGCCAGGACCACCTGCCACTGGAGTCACTGGAGGCATATGCTTCATGTGGCTTTTGAACAAGGACTCGGGCCATGTCCGGAGCGATGTCCACCGGAAGCAAGGTGTAGCCATACCTTCAGAGCTTTGATCAGCTATGATCAGTTTCGGATTGTGGCGATTGTGGGGGGTGCGGGAGCATAAGGAGAGCGGTCTGAGGCACCCGACCCGATCAGGAGCAGCAATGTGGACTCCACCAGCTGAGACAGAATAAACCTGGGGGCTACGAGATGTTTCCCTGCCGTGCAAAGCCCTAGTAGAGAGAAGCGCATTCCCACGCTGCACGGACATGTCAGAGCATGAGAGACGTTGATGCGGGATGAATCCTGGTGATTGGACCCCATGTTCTTCCCCATCCAGGAACACTCCTGCTCCGAAGAAAAGATGGCACACTGAGACTGTCACAGGAGCTCCGCCAAAATCTCGAATAGTCTCAACCCTCTCCCATCGTAGCCGTACCTGTCAGGGGGGGACGGAGATGGGCAGAGCGACAGAGCGACAGGCAGAGCAGCCTCCAGATGTGGAGAGCGTGCAGAAACCTGGGATCAGGCTCCCCAAGCAAAGCTTTGCTGGCACCAAAAGCGGCACCCAAAACGGCAGCTTCCTCTTGGCCTCGTGATCCCACGCGCGGGCCAAGGGCGCGGCTGGGCAGCGAGCTCTAAGCTCACCACAGCCACCAGACCCCAGATGACCTGAGAGAGCTTAAAAATGGGCAAATTCCCACAAACGAGAGAAAATCCGCTCGCCCAAGCTTTCAGTGGATCCGAACGACGCGACAGAGCCCAATAGCGAAGGGAGATACTCCGGCTTTGGGCCACGTTAACGCTATTTTTTCTCGCTTTGTGCATGTGATAAGCATCGCTGGACAAGTTCAAATGTTGCTGAGAAAAGAAAAGAGAGAGAGATAAAAAAAAAAAAAAAAAAAAAACAGAAATTTTCTCCCCGAGCCACACGCTCGGTGCGTGAACGCGTGTGGGTGAGACATTCATGTCTCGTCTTCTTCTTATTCTGGACTCCAAAAAAGCACAAGAAATCACCAGCGGGGCAACGGCTGGATGGAGTTTGCCCACCGCCTGCACCTCAATGAAGCACCTGGCAAGCCAAAGGAATTGCACGAACATAATGCTGTGCTTCAACACTTGAAAGCCGTGTCGACTGTTGCCGCTGCCGCATGGCATGTCTCCAAAGGTAACATGCATCGCGGCAGGGTGTTCTCGGAAGGGCAGCCTAAGGTCAATGCACTTGGGCCTTTGATCAGGGATGTCAGTCAAGCACGGTGTATCGCTACAGTACAGTTCAGGCAGGTCCTTTGCCTGGGCTCTTTCATCTGAAGCCGTGTGATCCTAGTGATGATGCGGTCCACTTCCCCCCTTCCCGCCCTGCCTTCGGCCGAAGAGGATGCAAAAGGCCATGAAGCAAAGCAGCGAGAGCACATTCGCTGGGAGCGTCCATCGCTTCTCGATGCTGAAATGGGAAGCGCCCTGGCAAGCTTGCCGAACAGTCTATCAACTCGCACCCCAAGCGCACTCCAACATTTCGATGCCGTTGAACCTCGTTCAAGTGCTGGATCTCATACTCGAACCGGACGCCTGCAGCCCAAGACCCCAAAGCCGGACCAACTCAATTTTCAACCTTTTAGCCCCGCTGTCAAGAACTGCAGCCCCATGAAAACCACAAACAACCCAGACAAGCTCAAAGTCTCCAGCACGGCCTCAGCCCTCAGCCCCTCACTCCGATCTTTCAGCTTCTCACCGCAGTGAAGCAAGGCGAAGTACCAGACATGGGACCTGCTGAAGTGCTGACAGCTTCTGGTTTACGGTGTTTACGGTGCTTACGGTGCCCAGGACATCCGACCTCACGGTGTTCCGCACTTGCCCATTCCAGGGCTCGCTCCACCTCTGTGGCTCTTTCAGGATTTTGCCCGCCTTCAGTCTTGTAGATACTTACATGTCTGTAGGTAGGTCCCTAGGTATGATATGCATGTAACATATTGGGTGTCAGTCACTGTTAAAGCCCATGGCGGATCCTTGTTCGGGAGCTCTTGAGGTCAGGACTGGCCGTCGGCGCGGACGTTCAAGGTCCAAGATTTTCGGGCCTTCTTGTTCCGCAGGCAAGGGTCCTCCAAACATGGGAGCCTGGGGTCGTTTGGGGCTCCAAGGAGTTTAGGGTTCGGGGCCGTTCGGGGTCTGTGCTTTCTCCCTGGTGCATTTCAAGGGCTGTCGAAGCTCTGGCCAGCTGGTGCTTCGCTCTGCCGCTATGCTTCAGAAGCAGGCGTACATGGCCACGCGTCGTAGAGTCCTCGATGCGGAGAAGCTCGTTCCAGTCCTGCCATCGCTATGCTTCTTGATGCCACAAGAAATCATGGAAGTGCAGCGTTGCAGGAAGACCAGTGAGGCTTTCTCCGCTCCCAGCATGCACAGGTCTGAAGCTAAGACCTCACCTAGATCTGAGAAGGAACAGAAGTGAATAGATGGGAGGGGACCGAACAGAGAGGACGTCGCCATCGGGACGAAGGCAAAAAGAAGCCTTAGGCCGTTCGGCAGAATTCGGCAGACTGGTCGTATAAGGCCACGACCGACTTTAGGTCGCTGACCTGGTACACCTGGAGGTGATCAGCTTCAATTTTGAAGGTCTCATGGCTCGGCTTGTCCAGGATCGGAGCCGGGAAGTTGAAGGGGAAGCAGCGCATGACGTTGGGGTAAAACCAGCCAGTGCTCTCTACCCGCTTGCCTGCCCTGCAGAAGAGGCGTTTCAGCTCGTCGCTGTTCTGGCACCTCTGGATGTATTCCTCATTGCGCCAGGCGACTGAAGACCTCGACGTGCCCAAAATGCCCAGTGCCTTTCGGTCAAGTGCCTCTGGCGGATAGCTCGACACTGCGAAGTACTTTGCGCCGGAGTTCACGATGTTGCGCACAGCCAGCAATCCGTCGAAGACGGTCATGTGCTGAATCGCGTCTCGCGTGATGACGAGATCGAACGGTTCACATGTAGCGCCCCGACAACACTGCGGTACTCCACACTCAATCAAGTCCCAGTGACCTCATGGTTCCAAGATTTGCAAAAGACGCAAAGACACTGCCACTGCTTTGTTCATCTTTGCTCATGACTCAAGACCTTTCTGCAGCTCAGTGGCGGAACACTTTGTTAAGGTGAGACGTATACGCTTGCCCATTCCGTCGTGCAACAGAAGCACTGATGTCTCCGCCAAAGTACGCCTTTGCCTTGTTGATGCTCGGAACAGCAAACTGCCAAGCAACATCTCCGCATGGAAGGTCTGCGACAGTCTGAATGTTGTGCTGCCTGGGTTTGAAGTTGGGGCCGAGGTCTGGGGCTACAATGATAGCAAAGATCATCGAGACAACTGAAACCCCCACTCACGACATTGAAGACCCCAACCCTGACGGAAGCAACGGAGCCGCTAGGGGGGAGTTCGGAAGGTTGGGACAAGGCCTGTGCTGTCCTAAAGAACGGGAGCAACAGTGTGCGCTTTTTTACAAATGCTCGGCAAAGGCAGCTCGGCTCAGCACATTCAGCACAGTGCAAGTCAAGGGTGCAAGATGAACAGGTTGATGTGATACACCCAGTCGTAAGCACCCTTCTGGTCGCTGCCTGTGCCGCTGGTGGTAATGCGCGCGTCGCTGCCCCAGGAGTTGGTCTTGTGGACCATGTCGAAGTGCATCTGCTGCTTTGCACGCTGCCGCATGGGACATTCCTCGGGGCGAGTCGCGAACTCCTTTGGGGCAGAGAGCTGCGCAGACGATGGCCCGGGCTGCGCGGAGCGTGCCGCGTTGAAGGCCAAGGGCTGGGCGGGCAATGCGGGCCCCGTTGTGGGCAGCTGTGGGGAAGCCTCAAGAGTCGCCTCAAGCGGGGCCGTCGCTGGCACCGTTTTATGCGGGACTTCCATCCACGCCGAGAGCTGCTCATGATCTACCCCATCGTGCGCGTCGTGCTCAAAGTAGTCCTGACTATGTTTGTTCTTATGCCCCTTTCCCTTGCCATGCCTTGTCCGGGTGCGATTCTCGACAGCCTGAGTGGGTAGGGTCGAGGTTTCCATGACCACAGACGTCTGGGGGCACTTCCATCCTGTCTGCCAGGCGACAAACACGCTTGACAGTGTGGCACACGACAAGCCCACCAGTACCGCATGTTTGCATGGTAACTCCATCTGTATAATAATCTGATAGGCGAAGGGCGCGCTGCCCCTGACTCCTACATTCAAAATTCTGTACAGGGCCTCTGCGACTCTACGGCAGAGGCCCACGCGCCTGGAGCCCAAAGATGCCATAAATCGGCCTGCGAACACACTACGCCGGTCGAGACGCCTCAGAAAAAGAGCACTTCCAGCCCGAACCCTAAACATCCCCAAACCTGCTTTGGCTCAGGTCCCCTCCTCGTCGAGGTAGCTCTCAAACCGGACAGTGATGTTGCCATCGGGCCTTCTACGGAACGCATGCTTGCCGCATCTCAACTCCAAACCCTAAACTTCCTGAAACCTGCAAACATCTGCAAACCCCAACCTTGCGTATCGTGAGCCCTGAATCTGAACTCCAAACCGTGCGCGGTCTCGGAACGTCGAGGCAATCGCACCTTCCGTTCTGCGCAGGCACTCGCACACGTAGGGTGTAGGTCCCGTTGCCCGGGGCATAGCCGAATTTGGACATGAATCCCCACCTGGCGTGGCTTCGTAGCTTTCGCAGCTTTCTAGTTTAGACTTGGGGGGAATGCGAGGGGCCGTTCAGGAGAAGTGCAACCTGTAGGGACCCAAGCATTTAAACTTCTCTTAGTCTTGGCAGTTGCCCTTTATTGAGATAGTCAGCGCGAATTGGCGCCGTGTCCTTATCAGACCTTTCTCGCGACTTCAAGAAAACAAGCTAACGCCATCCCAATTTCTCGCTCGAACTCGTCACGCCGAAGGCTTTGTTGAACTCAAGCTTACAAGGACTTAAAGTAGCTGGGTAGCAGCGCGTGACATGAGGAGACCAGACATTGCTGCGCTCCACACTTCGCCGAAAGGGCAACATTGACGTGCAGCTGGTCCGGTGCCAGCTTTGCTTTCAATTCAAGATGCCACCATCGTTCCAAGAAAAAGCAACAGCTCCGGAAGTGTTCACAGAAAACATTCCCAAACATGATAGGCTTTGCAAATGATTGGCCGATTGGCTTCGCCAGGCCAGTGGCACCAATGATCACAAAGGAAAGCACTAAGGCTCACTAAAGGGCATTGCTATGCATCTCAAGCTGCTGTCTTTGGCCACCCGAGTGCCGCCGCACTGCCACCAGCAGCACGGCAAGCGCACCGCTCCGCTGTCCAGATGCACAACCTGACAAAAACCACTGCAGATTAACATCCAACCCAAGCGTCAAAAGAGCGCACCCTTTCTTGCCGATTCTCTACTGAAACATTCGTGGCAACTCTAGCACACCCTTTCAGAAACCGTGGAAAAACACGAAGGAAACACGCCGAGCTTGGACTGTCACAGGTTGCCAATCGGAAACTGTAGGCAATCGCAATCAGGTATGGACTGAAGCTGAAAAGAAACGCTGCTGGAAGAGGAACTCGAGGTCAAATGCCAGAGGTCATTGCGGATGTCTCTATGAGGCCGATGGCCTCAGCCGGTTGCATCCTGGACTCCCCCCGTATTGCAGCAAGCTCCACATGGGCCCACATGATACGAACATCCACCGGACTGCTGTCCATAACGCGCATCGAAACGGTTTACTGTGGGTTTCCCAGTTAACTGCTATTGACGAAATACCAGCTCTGAATCTCGGAGAGTGCTTGCTTCCATAAAAACGCCTCAGTGTTTTACAGTGGGCCGTCCGTGCACAGCCTCGGCGTTCCTTCGGGCTTTGAAACGTGTTCGCCATGAAAGAACCTAACTGCTTCCGCTGCACATCTTGCATTGCGAGAGGCCTGCGCGGCAGCGCAACCCCAGTCGGCAAAACCTGAGCGCGCAGCAAGGAGTGCAAATGGAAAGCAGCTAGAAGCAGCCTGAGTTGAAACTTCGACCTGCGGCCCTCCGAGACCGGCGGAAGATCTGCGCCCATGCCCCAATATCTGAAATCCGCAAAGCATCGAAAACCCCTGATCTCCCCTGCTGCTGCGGGAGGGCGGAAGGTCCACTTTGGCAAATCACCGGCACCGAGTAGCAATGACGCCTGCCAGCTTGGAATGACTCGAGGTTGCACAGAAGCTACACGAGTGGAAACGAGACGGAGCCTCGCTGGCGAAATCGCAGCAGTTTCGCTGCAGCAGATGGTACTCGGAGCCGGTCCAGTCCCGCGCCTTACAAAAAGAACTAACGTCACAACATCTCGGAGGTTCCACTCCACGGCCCCAATGGATCCCCAAGCCAATGTGCAGTGGAGCTTCCAACAAACGGTAGATTTCTGCAATCTTGTCCTCGGGCAGCTGTATCGGAGTCCTCAACCCACAAACAAATCCAGAACTGGCGGATTTGCCGCTTGTCGGATGTCGTTGCATGTCATCTCGAACTCCATCAAAGTCAAGCGCATGCTTCTCTTCTGAGATCCCTGGCACACTCTCGCTTGCTGTCAAACTCAATCCCCCCGAGTACAACTACCTCCAAATCCACAAGCTATACGTACGCTTTTGGATCTCGCGCTCTCTCTCTCTCTCTCTCTATCTTTCTCTCTCCACAACCACCAAACCGAAAAGCGACGAGGCAAGGCTTGTTGACATCTACATGAAGTCTACCTCGCTACAGGATGTCACCCAAAGCGACATGCCTTGTCGGCTACGCAAACAGCTCACAGGCTCACACGCAACTTCGTCAAAAAAATGGCTCATGCTCAGGCACACGAGCTAGCAAAATTAAAACCCCTGCCATTGCATACAGCACAGGCGCAGCTCGACGCTTTCCCGGAAGTGTGGCCAGGAACGTGGCACCGTCCGATAGACCCCAGTGCCGCGCTGTGTATAGCCAAAGGCCCACCTGAAATCTGAGCTTGCAAAAAGCCAGCCAATTCTGACGAGCGGAAGTGGAGGGCAACCATAAGCCAACCCACTGTGGGCATATTGAAACGGCAGGCCATCCTGCGGGGCTCACACATCAACATACATCAACGCGCTCATAGACGCGCTTGGGAACTTGGTGCGATCCGTATTGAGGCAACTCGCCATGTCGCAACTCCACTGAGCACAAGACTTCACATCACTATGGCCGGAAGAAACACCCAAAGCCTTTCCGACTCCCATGACTTTTCAGCTCAGCTGCTCCTCATTGCCAACTTGCAGGCCCACATGAAAAGCACCGCCGAGCTTGAACTGAGATGAAGGGTCTCTCAAAATCTTGGGCACAGGCTTTTGGATATGGCTGGAAACCCCTGCACCTCCACTACACGAACCCTAGATGGCAAAGCCATCACAGCAATTCACAGCATCTTGAAGCAGGTCACTGGCGAGAGGTGGTTGGCAAACATGCCGTTGACCCAGCGTGCCTGGGTGAGCTGGGAATGTGATAAAGCGGCATTGCGTTGAAGGCTCAGCCACATTCACTCAGAAGACTGCGTGGCAAGTGGACTTAATTTGATGCCCAGGCACGTCGGCCGCCACATCGTAGACATTCAAGGTGACGCGGGTGATTGGCGTCTCCCTGCGGGTGCTCGAAAACCGATACCTGGGCTCATCATGGTTGTCACTTCTGCAGGTCGAGCTCATTCGGGCTCTAATGCTGCCGAAGTACGGCACACTGCGCACCACCTAGCAAGCCACAGCAAGCTGCAAGGACAGAATGTGTGATAGAGTGCGATGGGGAGAGAAAGAGGAGAGAGAGGAGAGGGAAGAGAGGGAGGAAGAGAGGAAGAGAGAAAGACGAGAGAGAAAGAAGAGAGAAAGAAGACAGAAAGAAGAGAGAAAGAAGAGAGAAAGAAGAGAGAAAGAAGAGAGAAAGAAGAGAGAAAGAGGAGAGAAAGAGGAGAGAAGAGTAGAGAAAGAGCGAAAGAGAGAAAGGAAGAAAGAGAGAAAGAGCGCACTGTAATGCACTGGATGGACTGTATTGTAACCCGCAAAGGCCATAACATACTACGAAGATGAGCTATTGCTGCTCAGTATCCTGGCACAACAGACATAAGCGTGTGCACGCCATCGCACCCCCCGTGCAAACGGTGCATCAATGCGCCATCTGGCCCCAATCTCTGCTGTAGCAGCGGAGGCTTGCCTTTCCACTGGCAACCTGCCTTCGGGGCGTAGCCAAGTAGAGCAACCGGCCTTTCCCCTTCTTTCAGAGCATTTGGCGCAAAGGTTTAGGTAAGGCTTTCGGGTTCGAGGTTTCGGGGGGGGAGGGTGAGAGCGTACCGTTTCGTCATCGAGCCCTGAAGGCTTTTCGGGTTCAGGTGGCAGGACGCCTTCTCCACCGGGATGTCTTCCTCGGTGTTGATGGGAGCTTCCGCCTGCGGTTCTCAGGTTCCCGGCTTGGAGGGTCCAGGGTTTAGGGCTCGGAATGCTCGGAACATTGGGCGGGTGAGGGTCAGACACTGAAGAGTTGGTCAAGGGCTTTGTAGGGGCTTGAGGGGTTTCAGCGGATTAGAAGGTTTAGGGCTCAGGGTTTCAGGATTTTGGGGCTGGTCAGGTCTTTCTTGTGTTTTTGTGGTGAAAGGCTTCGGTCTCACAAGCCAGGCGAATCTGCGCCTACAACCCGCAACTGCAAGACATGTTGCACCATAGGCCGGACCCCCATGACTTTCTAGGTCCTGTGCACATTTGACACTTACATCGCCCTATTATCGCACGGAGAAAGAAAAGGCATGTCCTGTTGCAAGCTGCCGGCTTTGTAAATCACCCCACTAGCCAACCCATTCATGTTCATGTTCTGCCTCAGGGACTGGCAGGAAAGCAAAGACAGGCAAAGTGAAATGCAAAAAAAAAGTACCCCGCCTCCATCATCGCAGAGCTCGCCTTGCCAAGGTCTGAGACACCTTCGCAATCCTGAGGCCACCCCGCGGTAATCAAGGTACCGAACCAACAAGCTTCGTACCAAAATTGGTGGATGGCCACACGCCAGGCTGCACCTCACTCGGCAAATCCTGGTGAGACAAGCGGCTGTGACGAGCTGGCGGATCTCTGCCAGCAGCCTCAGAGCATTGGGCCACGACAAGGTACATCACGCACAGCTGACCGCCCCGATGCAGAGAAACAGAAGTGTACTGCAAACAGCAATCCTGCATTTCTAGAGTATGGTCCGCGGATCTTCGCGCGCTCGGCAAGCTTCGTTTATATGTCTGTTTGCACGAAGACATATAACTCGGGGTCGGGGATCATGATGTTGGCATGCATTGGGCCTTCGGACACAATCCGAAATCGCGGAGCATGATTGCATTTCCAGCCCTGTATGGAACAACTCAAGTCGACGCAGCATTTATCCTTGATGCTAACCCCAATGAAGGAATCGAAAAGATGAACAGGTCTGACATCTGCATCATTGCAAAACAACCATCGCCAGCCAGGTCTCGTAATGGGTAGGTCCTGGAGCGATGTCATGGACACGTCCTGGCAACTGCGGCGCCTATCCCAGTACCCATTGTGGTCCATGTGGCACATTCCCATTTGCCCATGGATGACAACCACATGACCCTGTTCCATACGGTGGAAGTTTCGTGCTGTCATTCTCGGAAATCGATTTTAGGGAACTCCCCCTCAAGGATTTTCACAAGCACGTCCATTCTATTCAAAGGTTGCTCGGCTGTAGCGCCATGACTGACGTCATCAAAGGCATGCTGTGTTTAACTCGCCATCTCAATCCAAGAGTTTCACAACGTTTCAACATGATGAAGCTTTCTGAAACAACAGCCCAGTTCGGTCACTTGCGCCTCCTCCACCTCCTCTGCCATGCTGCTCACCTCCTCACAAGGCTTGGCTATAGACAATACAGGCAACACTGCATCGTGGCACGGAGCATTGCCTTTGCGACCCATGCATAGAGTCCTCCTGTACTGAAGCCCCATCCTCGTTGGATGGGGCATCTTCGGATGCCTCGACCTCACAGGAGACATGGCAATCAAGACCCTCTTGCGCAACAACTCCGGAAACCCGAAGCTGTGGCAAAGCAGGCTTGCAGCCTCGGCCAAAATCCTTGAGAAGGCTGTGCCAAACGGGCAGCAAACCTGTCTTGACGGGAAAGAACACGCCTAAACCCGTGACGGGCGAAGAGCTTGAACGAGCTTTAGCTGAGCATAGCAGTGTAGCTCCTTTAAGGGCAATCTCAAAACACCATGAGCCTCGGGTGTGGCCCACAGCCAGCGGAAGCACTCCATCGGGTGGAGGATGGCTCGGGATCAAGCGGCCCTCAAGCCTGAAGCAGCTTTATCAACGACCGTTGATGCTTCCGGTGACCCCTCTTCGCTGTCAAACTCCTGCACTCTTCAGATGATGGATCACGCTGCAAAACATCTCCCTCAAGAAGGGAACTGAAAGCTTTAAGTCCGATAAACTGTCCAGTTCTCGAATAATCCTAGGATTTTCGGGGAACTGAGGCAAAAGGCTCGCAACAGCTATGCCAGCGATGAGATACGCCGTGCTTCGAACCACTGCAAATGGCTGCAGACCACTCGATCGTACCTTGTGTGAGTGTGTGTGTGTTGAAGCACCAAGCCCCGTATGAATTCAGCCTAGCCTTTCAAAGTCTGTTGTTCTTCGTGAGAGCAAAACACAGTGCACGCAGGATGCAGGGCCCGGCGTTTACGGGCGGGCACCGTGCTCGGATGCGAACCCCACGATTCCACACCGACTCATGGCTTGCTGGCGCACCTCTGTTCGCCACCGAGATAAACTGATGCAACCTGCACCCAAAGAAGCGAGCCAATTTCGCGCACACGAAGAACTGTCACAGAAATGGAGGATAAGGAAAAAGAGACGATTCATCCGCAGCAATTGCGTGAGGAAAACCGCTCGCTATGCAGCATCCACTCTGTCCAACGCCGCGCGCCCGCCTGCAGCTTGGCCTCCAGCGGCAGCCATGCCTTAAATCTGCAACTGGGGCGAAGTGGAGGGGGGGGGTTGCTAGGGGGGGGTTTACAATCGACCAGCAAGGCTTAGCAGGCTTAGCAATTGTGCCACACTCCGCACGGTGCTATGAAGCTCGGCTGACCACCAGCAGAAAAAGACCCGCGCATAGCAGACCTTTCAGGGCAAAAGACGGAATGGGATGCCCCTACTTCATGAAAGCTCTTCAACACCCGAAGCAGAAAGCTGGTGGCCTCTCATGCCGGCACGCAGCCAGTTGCTTGGCAATGCATAAAGCTCTTGTGCTGTTGGGGGTGACCGGTGGTACGTGGCTTGGGCTGCTTGGGCTTCTTGGGCTTTAGCTGATCTGTGAGCTCCGATGCATCAGCATTTTAAAGTGGGTGCAGGGTATCTGCCTGTGGTGCTGTGAAGGTGCATAGGTCCAAAGCGGCTGCTCGACGGGCCATGGCCGTGCTGAGACCGCCTTATTTCGCGGTTGACAAACTCCTGAGGCCCTGCGACAAAATAAAATCTTTCTCGCCTCACTCACGCACGTCTCGCCACTAGTGGCAGGCGAGAGGGTCTCCTAAGGTAGACGAGCCTAGAGCTTGCAGAGGTCGTTCGCCGCACCCCCTAAAAAGGGGCGCCCATCGGATGCCATGTATGGCCAACACGATGAATTCGTTCCATGCATTTGGAAAAGAAGCCCCGAGTCCAGGCTCGAAGTGAGGCTCTGGCTCTCGAGTTACCAGGATCCACGCTCACGGAGCCGGCGCGGTGTAACTACAGCACGGAGGGCCGGCGAAGCAGCAGCAGCCTCCTTGGTAACGAAAGAGCAGGGTCCGCAAAGGACACAAAAAGCCCCACAAAAGAGGGCCCGGACTCCCTCACTCAAGCCGTGTGAAACATCCCCGCCTGCTCCTTCTTTCTTGCCCTCTCCCCGCCCGATAACTCCCCCGAATTTCTCCTAAACATCGAGTCATTCGAAGCGTCAAGCACGCCGCTGGCGGTGGCGCTCATCGCATCGTCGAAGCTCAGCCGCCGCTTGCGGCTGGGAGTTGCTACAGCCGCTGCCTCCCAGGTCCCACGCAACCATTTTAAGCAATTTTAGGGCCCTTAAGGAGTCCCACACTGGAGGATTAGTCAGACATCTCCGCGCGCCTCCAACACATCGCCTTTGGGAGTCAGCCGCAACTTCGGCGTCCCTGGCGCTTCCTGGCCCAAGCAGCAGGGTTTAAATCTGCACGAACCACTTGCCTAGAGACCACTCCTACTTTTGAGGACGGAGCGAAACCTCACTACAGATAATGGTCGTGTGCTGCGTGCACCCCTTTCGCTTCGTCCTCTTGCAGCTCTAGGGTTCTGTAAGCTCTGCGGGATGCCGGCATTTCGACGCAAGCTTCGCCCTTCTGTAGGGGCTTCCAGAGGCTTGGAAGGCATTTCAGGTTGCCTCCTCTGCCGAGCTCGCCTTTCGCAGGCGTCGGGATGCCTCGGCGACTCGGAGCTCGGAAAACGAATTGAGGGAATGTGTAGCTGAAGGGTGGCTGAAGGGTGGCTTTGGACTTCGGAGGGTTTTTGGAGCCTAGGCCTTACGCCCCCGAGTACCAGTGAGGCCCCTGCGAGCGAGTCGGGCGGCGAGGCGGCCGCCTGGCTCAAGAGCACGATCCAAAGACCCGGAGTCTCTCAAGCCTGATCAAGCTTGGGCTCTTAGGGCCCTTGGGGCGCTTAGGGCCCTAATAGGGCCCTTTTAGGGCTCTTAGGGCCTTGGCCATGGAGCTGCGGCGTCGGGGCCGGCGCGGGACCACCTTATTCTTGCTTGTGAACTGTTGCTTCTTTTGCTTCTTCTTGTTGATTGGTTTTAGTGTGTAAGGGGCTGCGGGCGGCCTTTGCGTGCTCCTGCCGGGTCATTTTTGAAAGCGTTCCCTGTACGTCGTGGAGGGCTGGCTGAAACAACGAACACTAGCAACTCCCGAAGGGCCGCATGCCGCGTTTCCTGCTGCGTCTCTGACTTTGCTAGTCTACCTGTTGTCTCCACCTAAAACGCAAGCGAAGCCTCAAATGAACTCAACCTCCAGAAAGTTAGCCTCCAAGCACACCCTGAAAGCCCCTTAAACACTAAGCCACTGCGGAACAGCGGGGCTTCTCCACCACCAACTGCTGCCATTCGCCGAAACCTCGAAGAGGGAAATTGGTAAACTTAGAAGGCTTCGAGAGCCAGATGCTCTGATGCTCACATGCTCAGAGCACAAGTTTCGGGGTTTCCTAAACATGCCCGTGTTGTTGACGACGGGAGTCTTGATTCCTTGGATCTCCGGACTCTCCGTGACCCTCTCTTGGGGGGAGCCCTAGCCAGAGCCCAAATCTGTATGCCCTAAGTCCCTTTCCACTGCGGGCGGGCTGCTCTTCCAACGTGCCCTCACTGCGTCACGCGCGCTAGGATCGCTCTCGTTCGGGGCCAGCACCTCTTGCGCAGAAGGATTGGGTTCCGGGTTTAGCGTAGGGTGTTCGAGGTCAAAGGCCGCGCCGAGCTGGATCCAATATTTCCCAGTCAAACGGCAGCCTATTGAAATGAACACCTAGGTGCCCTCAGTGTACAAAATGCCAGATTTCAGCTGATAACACTTTGCGACTTTGCGGTAGGCTTGAAACCGGTGATCCCAGGCCTCAAGACAAAAACCTGAAAGGCGCAAACCCTTTCCGAAGCGTTTGAACGAAAACCATGGGAGGCACAAGAAAGGTGCAGAGGGTTTTTTTCGCGCCTTGGAAGTCGCCACGGACTGGAGGAAGATGCCACAGCGATGATGCACCTGCCAGGGATCCACACCCATGCTGAAGCTTGCGAGTGACTAAAGTGGCATGCGTCAGTTCATGAATTCAAGCCATTAAACCTTCTTAAACCTGGCTGAAGGATGGGGAGGCGACCCCTTCTTGCGCAGATTTTCTGTTTTCACCGTCGGGTCCATGATTGAAATCACCATTGTGAATGGAGCTGGAGACATTGAGCATTCTCATGCGAAAGGCCCACCCAGAATGTCTGCCCATCTCCAGCTCTGGCTTAGCCTGGCTTGCTCCAAGCCAGGGATAGCCAGGGTTTGTCAATCTGCTCGCGTCCAGGCGCAGGGCGGAGGCTGCACCCATCAATGCCAAAATGCGAAAGCGGCTGTGCATGGCTTCACTCCCGCGCCGCGGACGCGAGCCTCCAGCTCCTTCCTGTCTTTCAGGACACCTGCGTCAACCCATTGTAATTCCGGCCTCTTGCAGGTTCTGAAGCTCCGCAGAAGCCCCTCTCAGGAACTGATGGACGGGCTCGTGCTACGAGTCAATGTCGGCAAGCTCATCAGCTTGGGAAGTCGTTGAGTGTTTGTATCGCAAAAACAAAGTTTAGAAAGAAGCTTGAGTGCCTTTACCGCAACATAAAAGACACACGTTTAGAAAGAGGTTAATGTCCACAAGAAGTCTGATTGTTTCTCACGATGAAAAAACACGTTTTGAAAAAAGCTTGGGTGTGTTCCTTATCGCGATAGAACACGCTTATTTCCAAACTTGAAAATCTCCACACCAGCCCTCAGAATCTATTGGACTAAGTCATTTGAGCTTACGTGCATAGGCCTCGCAGGCCACCCCGGCAGTGCGCACCACAAAGGCGCAGGGCGCCGTGGCCAGGGCGAAGTCCGCCACGACCTGCTAGGTCCGCATAGGTCCGCTAGGGGCCGGGGTTTGCGGGGCTTCTTGAGGTTGTGCTGAAAAAACATTGCGTCAGGCCAGCGTTTCGTGGAAGGCTCCCAGCTGGGGGGAAGGCACGCACCACACCCCAGCTCCCTAGCGCCTTCCGCCCGGAGATGCCAACGAAGGAGCCAGTGTGCGCCTTTCAAAGGTGCAGCATGTCGTGATATTTTGCGGGTTCACAAGGGTTCTGCAAGGGCTTGTGTTTAAGGGCATTTAGGGGTGTTACGATGTGTTAAGGGTCTAAGGGTTCAGTTGATCCCTTTGCTTGCAGAGCGGCCAATAGACAGATGACATCCCCGTCTTTGATGCCACGCCCTGCAGCGGTCGTCGCACTTGCCTCAGCCCAAACAGGCAGGAAAGCAACCCCACCTTTCAAAAGCGATTAGAAGAAACAACCAATTGTACCAAAAACTTTTTCTCACATCTCACCTGGCTGCTCCTGCAGTTTCCAAGCACGGGGCCGAGCTTGACGATGCTGCTGAAGAACCCAAGTATGGGCACACCATGAACTGCTGCCACTTGCCCCGGTCGCCATATCGTGCGCGAACGGTGGGGCCTTCTACATCCAAGTAGCGGCCGTGGAAGGCTCGCAGGTACCTGGGCAGGCAGGTCCCTGATGCGCGTGAGCCGGCAAAAATCATTACGATCATGCAGAATGTCCTGACTGCGACTCAGTTCAAGTGAAGGCACACCGTGTCTCCCAAGTGAATCCGGGAGTCTGATGCGGGCTCGTCAAAAACCACCTGCTGGGCCCAGAAGCTCGCAGACATGCTGCCACCACGTGCATCCGGGCTTCCGCAGATATAAGATACAAGACTACACAAAAGGCAACCCGACACCACTGGCACCGGCTGAAGGGCCGAAAAGGGGAGAGGTAGTATTTTCAACGGAGGCCAGCGAAACCTCTCCGACATGCCTCCAGAGGGTCCAGGGGCGCGGTCACAGCATCCCTGGGCGGCGTCCGAAGTCGGCTGGTCCGGCGATCCCGGCTGGGTGTGGGGGTGCTGGGGGAGGCATTGGCCGCGTCGCGCGCCTCCGCAAGAAGGCACGAGGCGGACAGCAACATGGCAGGTTGGATCAGAACTCCTGGGGCCCTCGCCGAGTCGGGCGTGCTGGGGCAGCGCGGTGCCGGCGGCGGGAGGGGCGGGAGCGCGGGCAGATCGCAGCCTCAAAGGCTCCCCACACAGTGACACTTCAGCATACCTCACCTCTGCTCTCTGCACCCCTGGATACCCCTGGTCTCTGCAGGTCTCATTATTCTGAGGCACGGGCGCAAGGCCTGCCCTGAAGGGAGCAACGACTTCTCCACGGCTTGCTGCCTGGAGGCCCGGCTTCAGGGACTTTTCAAGGGGCTTTTCAGGCTTTTTTTTTTGGTGAGGGGGGGGGGGTGGGCTTGTCTTGCTTGTCTCGAAGCTCAGAAGCCTCTGGGGTGGAGGGGGCTTATAAAGTTACAAAGGGTGATTTCTGTGAAGTCGCTCAGAAAGATGCAGAAAATTTCGAGCACACGTCCAGAAACTGGGGCCAGCACCAGTCCCACTCGGTACCTGAGAGTCCCAAAACGGAGCTTCCAATATTCCGCCCCCCCCCAAGTGGCCCCCAAGGCTCCAACTCTTCGGCCGGTCGCTCCAACTCCAAAAGAACCATCCGTGGGACGACTGCAAGGGGTCACAGAGAATACGGGAGTTCTTACTGAAAGCCCGTGACGTGCGTGCACCGCGTCCTCGCGGTAGGCAGCGAGCTGAGCGTTGGCGAAGAGGGTGAGCATCTCATCCTTTTGCGCAGAGTCGTCTGCGAACAACTTGCAGATTTTGCTTCATTTCGGAGGGATGTTTCGTGGGTTCAAGGCGCACTATAGCGTGCTGCACGCGTGCACCACAAGCGCCCCGCTTTGGAGATCTTCCCGGTGACGGATCCACAGCCCAGCGCGAGGCTCCACCTGAGGAGTCGGGGTGCATGGAATCAAGTGGGGAAGGGCCCGGCATCTGGCAATGTCTATTCTATTCTATTTTGACAGAGGGCCCAGGGACAGAAGATGGGGCTCCCAAACCGGTCCAAGGCCTTTTTTGTCTCCTTCCCGCGCTCAGCGCTGGCGCGTGGGGAGCTCGGGAAAGCTCAGAGCTGGTAAGGGTCCGCCACGGCTTCCTCGCCCTCGGGGACCAGCGGAAAGGTCCACGCTTCGGCCGAGGGGCGATCCTGAGCAGATCTCCGCAAAAAGAGTCCGCGATCTGCTTTTTGGGCTCTTTCGAACTCCCAGCCTGAAACGGCTCCTGAAACCCTTCAAAACGTTGCTGAAACCTCCTTTTAGGGCACGCCGGGCACGCTGCCGCGGAACCAGCGCGCAGCTCCCCGGCGTGCGACGGACCTCTGCTGCCGCTGGCGCACCTTTGCACGCCTTGAAAGAGGATGAGGAGGGATGAGGAGGGATGTAGGAGTGCTATACTTGAGTGCATGAACCCGTTCAGCGCAGCGTGGCGTAATGTAAGGCTCGGAGATGTATTGGATTCGTCTTAAATTGGATGAACTATCGGTAGAATGGCTCACCAGCTGTGACGAGCTGGAGTCTAGAAGTGCGACTGATAAAATTTACAGCATATTATAGCTCTTCGGCCAAGCAATGCCAAGCATCCACTCGCGTCGGCAACGCTGCTCTTCAGCCGGTCCGCCGGCTGCCTCCCACTCAGCATACAGGCGTCGCTCCTCGTTGGCATGTCTACGGAGCACATTTCAAACTGCACACAGCCAACAACAAGCACAAGAAACAGGCACGCAACAAAAGCACGCAGCAAGCGGTAACAAAAGCGAGCTGGTAGTTGGGGTGAAGACACGACACATCACTCCTCGAGCTGTGCAGCACGCTCCTTTTCGCAGAGGACGAGGCTTGCCAGGGAGGACTGGCAGCAGACGTCGAGAGATTGGCAAATTGGCACACACAAACTTGAGAGAAGCTTTTTTGTTTAAGAAGCAGCAACATAGCAGCACGCTTTGCACCTGCGGTTCGATGCGCTGCAGGAGGCTCCACTCGATCTCGTCTCTCCGATCCGATGTGGAGAACTTTTCCAGGGCCACGCGGTACTTCTCCCTGGCCCGGCGCGCCCGCTCGGCTCGCAAGGCTTCCGCACGCGAAGCACGCGAAGCCTGTGCCGCATGGGACCCACCTGAGCCTGAGTCCCCTGCCAGCTCTGTCAGCTTCGGCGGCTCTGCCAGCTCCCCTGCCAGCTCCCCTGCCAGCTCCCCTGCCGGCTGTGCCGGCTCTGGCTCCACCATGGGTGCCACCTCGGCCACCTCGGCCACCTCGGCCACCTCGGCCACCTCGGCCACCTCCGTCCCTTCCTGGGCCGCCTGCCGCTGCCACTTCACGAGCCGCTGCAGAGCATGGTCGCTGTCCCTTTGTCTGCCCTTCCCTGCTTTCCCCTTCGCCGCGCGTCGCGAGGGGTGAGCGAAGGTGTGAACGAAGGGGTCCAGGGGCGGCAGGGACGCCTCGGTCGCCTCGGCGTCCAGGTCGGGCATGGTGAAGTCTGGCGGCGTTAGGGGCACAGAATCCTGTTCTTCCGGTACCTTCTCCTGTTTCGCAGCCCGCTTTTGCCGCCTCTTTCTCCTGATCTTTCCCAGCAAAAGCACAACATCCCTCTGAGTGTAGACCTGGTAACCATCGAAAAGGCTCCAATCGATGCGCCCCTCTGGCCCGATTCTTCGTCTTGGCCTTGGCTTTCGCAACTGAGCGAGGAACGTCTCCCGAAGATCGTCGAAGCACTTCGCACTCGTGGCCTCACTCAGGTTCTCCTCAGCCTCAGGCGCCTCCCCCTTCGCTCCCTTCTTCTTCGCTTGCTTCTCCAGGCGCCTCTGCAGCTGCGCCTTCCGCTCCTCGCGGCGGCGCTCCTTCTCCCGGCGGCGGTGCAGCGCGTGCTCCTTGCGGAGTGTCTCCAGCTCCGCCAAAGTCCGCTCGGCCGACAGGTCCAGCCGCGGAGGCACCGGCGCCGGTGCCTCCGATCCCTTCTTTTCCCCCCCCGTCTTCTCCAGCGCCGCACGCCTCGCGAGCACCTCTTCCTCCATACTGTGCGGCTTGGCTGCGGTTGATGGGGCGCCAACCACCTCCTTCCGAGACCGCTTCTTTTCAGGAACCTCTTTGGGCTGAACCTTCTCCTTGGCTTCCTGGGCTTTCTGGGCTTTCTCGGCTTCCTTGGCCACGTCCTTGCCCTGCTGCGCGTCTGCCTGGCCGCCTTGGCCGCCTTGGCCGCCTTGACCGCCTTGAGCGTATCGCAAGGCCACCGTGGCCGCCTTCAGCTCCCGCTCAGCTTTGGAGGCACAAGAACAGATGCCACCCGTGCTCCCACAGCACTTGATCTCACGCAGCTTCGCGGAGATCTTCTGCAACGTCCCTGAGGCAGCCTTCATGCGGTCAATGTCAGCTTGGGGATCTCCAGCAGCTTGCATCTGATGCATTTTGACAGCCATGGCTGCCTGAACCTCAGTGATAGCGCAGAAGAAGTGCACAAGAAAGCTGCAAGAGTCCTGACAATTTCTTATCAGCGGTAGTCGAAAGTGGCAGGTCGCTACGAAGCACTGGTTCCATGGACGAGCGCGGCATCTGATGATCTCTGCTTTGGGTCGGCGGGATGCGCCCATTTGGTGAAAACTTCGCTCCGACAACGACCGAAACATGCAGAAAGCCATGTGCACAGTTCAGAATCATGACATGTTCAGTAAAGCGATACATGCCAGAAAGCGAGTGTGCATGTGTAGATAGGTAGATAGACAGATAGATAGATATCACTCTTCAAGCAGTCGCTGCTTGCCTACGTGGCGGATGTTCGTTTGAGAAAATCAAAGTATCACAGTAGTCTGTCGGATGCCAGCCCAGCCATGTGCCTAGTGCAAACTCAAGGAATGGCTGCTCAAGTATTCTCGGTCGTTCTGTCTGCGATTGGGTGGCACGCAGGGCGCGCACTGCACTGCAACTGGTACTCCCACCCTACGGTAGCAGCTTCAGCAGCACTGGCCCTAGCAGCACCTACGTTGAAACTGACGCAAAACGCCTTCCCGTAAGTTGGGAGGAGCGAAACTCGAGAGACAGCTTGGGTAAACTCCCGGTTCCTCAAGCGCTTCGAAGCTTCAAAAAGGGCCCAAACCGGAAGCCCCGAACTGCACCAAAATTCGCTCTCTTGACTTGGAACCTCCAAGTCGAAACTGCCCAGAACTGTGCGCTCGCCATTCTTGGTGAACGCTGCGGTCCATTGGCTCTTACCTCAGTGCTTCGGGGGATTTTGGAACAACTTTGGGTCGCGTGAGCTTTCCGGAGTACAAAATTCTCAAATTATGGGGACTTTGCGAAGGAGGTTTTCAGGCTAGGCCAACAAAAAGGCTTTGGGGCCGGCGCCGAGAAGTCGAACACACTTCACTCTTTTCGGCTCTGCCTGGCTGCATTGCTAAGAGGTACTTCGAAGCATTACCGGAAACGGCTCCTGGCGTTGGAGGGTGAATGCTGCCAAGCGGATGTCAAGGTGCATCTCCGCACATTGAGATAGCGGGCCTGACCTCCCCGGGACGCGGGAAGTCCCAGCTCAGCAGCAAGCTTGCGCACGCGTCCCGCCAGGTCCAGACTCGACTCATCCCCCGCCATCCAGCCGCGCGGCCGAGTGGCGAAAGAACTTCATCTAGAGCCCTGATTATTACGAACCAGACATTTGCTGGGCCTGCGATCTGCTGGGCTTTCAATCAAGACATACTCTGATCTGCCGCCCCCCACTCTTCACGATGTCCATGGTGCAGTACTCCCATCCATTCCCTTGAGACCAAGCACACAGAGCATCCAGCTTGCGGTGTAGTAGTTAGTCTAGTTTCCCAACCCGAGGGAGCCCTAAAGCTTCAAGAAGTGAGCTGTCCCCAACAAAAAACACCTAAGCCATCCTGATTCATGCGAATCCATCCTAAACCGCCTGAACCCTGTGGGCACCTGGAGGGCTTCGGAACCCTGAAACCCGGAAAAACACCATAAAACACCCTAAGCCATCCCTACCCGACATGACTTGGGGAGTGGAGGGCTGGGAGCGCGGCTCGCCCACCACAACCGGAAAGCGCCGGAGCTCCTCGGCATGCTCCTGCACCTGATGTTGATGTCAGGGGTTTTATGAGGCTTGGGGATCTTGAGTTCTTCGGGGTTGGCTTCTACCATGGCAAAGTGATGGCTTAGGGCCGGTTTGGGGGGGTTAGCGGTTAGAGGATTTCCTGCGGCTCGTGCTGCCACCAGGGCACTGCACGCAAGTGTTGCGCAAAGGTCCGGCCATGCCACTCGTTTTCAAAGCAGTGGTACCTTGCAGGTTGACAGAAAACAGACAGTGCACCCCTTCTATGCATCCGTCGTGATTCAGCAGTAGGATGCAAAAAGGTTCTTGCTTGCGCCGCTCCAAGACCCAGGCCAGTGCACTTCAAAGCAAACCTCGGCAGCACAGTGCAGGGCCCAGTGCAGGGCCCAGTGCAGTGCATGGTGGCATGGTGCCCTCATCCCTTCCAGGATCAACCCCCACAAACAGCTCTCGCAAGAAAGCCCAGCTCGCGGCGTTGGCATGGCACTTCCCGCCCATTTCCTGGCTCGGGGGGCATAAGGGTCGGGGACAACCCGGGAACCCTAAACCCGAAACCCGACAAAGACCCATGGGACCCGTTGGAGCAAACGGTCGTTCTCTTTTAGGTCTTTTTGGGTTCTGTGACCTAGCCGCCGAGCCCCGCAAGCCCGGGCCCCAAACGAGTGCCTCCCAGCGGGCCACGAAGCCAGGAAGAGGTCGCTGAAAGACTGGCCTCCGGGAGGCGTTAAGGGTTGGAGTATGTTAGAGTTGAAAGTTGAGGATCTCGGAAGTCTTGGAGGAGATCTCTCTTTTGTGCTGATCGCGAGAAGAGATTTGCAAGTCTAAGTGCAACCAGCAGGCAGGACCACGGTCACATCCTCGCGCAAGCCAGCGCGTCGAATGGCCCGGACCTGGCCATCGCCATGTCACCTCACGAGCCTACAGAGCTTGCACATCCATGAACCCGAAAACCGGGACGGGAAGGCAGCACGATCGTAGAAGTTGCACAGGACATCCGTGGGGACCTGCAGTGCACACGCGAAGCAGACCTCGAATCTCCAAAAGCGGAGTCACTCATCGGGGCATGGATGGCCCAATTGGCCCAGGCACCTCCGGCGACGGCTCATTGCCTCAACACATGTCTCGCTTCAAAGCGCCGACGTTCTCTTCAACATCCTTACTCTTACAGGTCTGGGCTCCAGGCACACAGCGATGCCCGTCACCGCCTTGCGGCCGCGATAGCGGCGCGCCACGATGCGCAGCGCCCTCAGGGACTCCTCGCGACATCTTGCACCCCACCGCAAGAAGTGCTTAGCATTCGGGCAACGCACATGGACATGCACGGGCGGCACACGAACACCAGTGTTGCAGCTCCGGGGCCTCGAAACGCCAGCTCTGCCACTGCCACTTCAGGGGAGGTCGCTGCCTGCGGCCTGAATCTCCAAACCCCCCAAAATGCACAGCGCGGAGCAGCGCAGCATGGAGAAAGCGGGGCAGAGCCAGCGATGCAGAAGGCTGTGGATGGCCGTGGATGGCCGTGGGCTCTTCCGGGTGCCCCGCCGCAAGGCGCCTCGCCGCTTTCGCCACCGGGCGCACCATGGAGGTCCAGCAGCACCTGGAGCCCAAACTCCTCCGCCTCGCGAGAGCTTGGAGGGATCAAGTGCAAGATCTTCCATGCTGGATTCGGATACTGCATGCCCCTTCACAGTGCGACTCAAAACCCTATCATGAAACATATCTCTGGTGCAGAAACCGACAAACTGTGAATCAGAAATGCCTGTGCCACTGATGCAACCGCAAGAAAACTTTAGTTCACGCAACAACCGGCGCCTGGTCTCTTGTAGCTGTTCTTCTAGTGTGTTCAGGGTACTCTAACAACTACAGACTTCGCATGGAATTGCAATTGTTTTGAATTGCTGGGGGATGTCCGGGATGTTCCCTGCTGTGACATGCGATCCAAGGCCACGGCCCAAGCGACTGCGCGATCCAAGTAACGCAGCGCTGGGCCCTGCAATCAGATGTTGACTCGAGGAGACGCACTGTTTGGCCTAACCGTTGGCCTAACCCCTCCCCGCTCGGGAAATCCCCGAACTTCTTGTGCGAAATAGCACACTCGCGTCCGCCTCGAAGGGATCTCGCGGCGCGCGCGGCCGCGGCCGCGGCCGCGGCCGCCGCTTCGGGGTACCCGGGCGGCCTCTCGGAACAAAGATGTGGAACTGGACCGTTTGCATTCAGAACAATGGGGAGAACAGAGGAGAGGGAAGGCGGAGAACAAGTCCACCCGTTTCGCTCATGGCCTGCCCCAACCTTCAGGCGCACGCGGCTTCGCAGGCCGACCGGCAGGCTGACAGAAAGTGACAGGGGAGATCATGGAAGAGCGCATGGGGCGTGCCCTCATCTGTCAAAGTGGGCCTGCTTTTGTCTCTCGTGCTTCCCAACACAATCCTTTGAGAGCGGTCTCAACAAAATGACAACAGATGCACAGCTTCTAAACTCAAGCTGAAAAACGCGAATGACACAAGAAATGAATGCACTCTATGCATGCGCAATGCGCTCCACTGTACGAATGCACTCTACTCTGTCCGAGTTGCCAGTATCCGAAGGGAACTCTCACAGCATTGAGGCCCGCCGCCTCACCAGCAGGGCTAGGGCAGTCTTCATTCTATTTACAGGTCTCGATTGGACCTGGCGCGATCCAGCGCGCGGTGCCAGTGCGATCCCACAACAACCCCGCACCTGAATGGCTTGGAAGTCGTGCCGGGTCACAAAGTTCTCGCGGTGCTGCCGCAAGGCTTTCAGCCCGTCGGCGTGCCTCTGACCCCGACTCCGACCCATCCCCTGACACCCCTCATATCCCCCAACTTCCCTGGAGATCGCATCAGAATGACAGAATGTTAAACTGTGCTATTAACCTGCTATAAATGGTGTTCCATGGTGTTCCTCCGTAGGCGCTGCATCAACTCCCACTCGCACTGCGGATCGTGCTTGCCAGACCTTAGCTGCTTAGCTCTCGCGCAGCTCCAACATGGACATTATGGCAAGGGGTCTCTCTCATGGTACAGTACGAGTAACAAAAAGGGCCATTGCTCAGTGCTGGTGCCTTCCCTAGCCACACCCATCTTTCCCGGGTGGCCTTGTATGCCTTTCACAGGGATCGTGCAGGGGCGTGTCGAGATTCACGAGCCAGTGATCTGAACCAGGTAAAGGACGCCAATACTCTCCCCACCTCCAGTTCAAACCTTTTCATGCAGCAAGTTCCGCCACCAGGTTTTCACTTAACTCCACAGTGGCACATGAGGCGGAGATGGTGGAGGCACTTGAGCAGACAACCGCCTACAAAAAGAGAGAGCAAGCATGCACACAAGATGGGTCACTGCATGGGCATAAGAAGTCAAGCCACTCGCGCTGCGAATGGCCCGGCTCCGGGAAGTCCTCCAAAGGCAAAATGAGAACGAGAGCTCTGATCCGAAAATTCCGAAAGCACCCAAGGATGTCCTTGGCATGCTGGAAGAGCTGCCAGGAAGGGCCGGGCTCCTGAAAGCATCAAAGCAAGACGAGCGGGTTCCAGAAGCTGAGCCTGCCTTGAGATGTCCTTTTTTGAACCCTTAAGAGCCTCAAGAGTCAAAGAGGGGTGGGAAAAAAGAGGGGGACCCCGAAGCCCCGCAGCTCCAGCAGCAGCCAGCCGCCGAGGCTGACACCGCGCCAGGGCCTCTGCAAAGGCTTTGGGGGGGCTTACGCCATTGGAAGGGGGGGGGGGGGGGGGGGCGCCACCTTATTGGGTTTAGGGGGTCCCACTATTTCGGGGGGTGGATATTCGGGGTCCCTCATGATCGTAAGCCCCCATTGAAGAAAGCCCCAAGAAACGCTCAGCATTGGTCTGCCTCTCTCGGGAGCCATCCATGGCGGAAAGAGTGCTCCGTGGGAATCTCTACACACTCTTTGCAGAACCTTGCAAGCCTTCTGACTCTTGCATGACACGCTGTCACCTACATTGCGAGTCACCAACATTCGCGAAGAGCGGTGCCATGATGTGCCATGTGCAACATGACTCGACCCCCTTATGCGCAACTGCTGCCGGCTGCGAGCCAGTTAGGGGTAAAGCCAGAATGCCACGCATCAGAAAAGGGCGAGCTTCCGAAAGGATGCTACTGGATGTTGGCTTGCTAGCAACCCCTAAATTCAAGAGCTTTCTTGAGCGCATGGCTCGAATTGTGAGAGTCGTTTAAGTGAAAACTGTGCACATTAAAACTCTCAGGCCAAGAGATCCAAGGCTGGCATGCGAAGGAAAAGATACCTGCCTCCTCGAGACCGTCGAGACCTATCTCCTCAAGCATTGAACTAAGCCGTCGGTGGCCTGGTGGACTCAGTTGCTGAAGGCCTCTCCACGCCTGGCATGGCATCACCGCACAGTCACAATCCCACTTTCGCAATCTTGTACACCATGACATCCTCTCTAGTTGTTTTTTGTCCATGCTTCCTGCGCCAGTCATGCTGCGAGAGCTGCTGGTGTCGCACGCAGCTTACCAATTGGGCTGGGCTTTAGCTCCTTGTGCGGCGGCTTGAGGTCTGAGTTGGCTCCTAGTCTTCCTTAAACCTCCCAGCCAAAGCGCCAACACCACGCCAAAAATCACTGCAGCCAGCGGACACCGGAGGCTTGACGAGGCCGATGCCCACGGCCACGGCCACGCCGGCCAACCTTTAGCTAACTTAGACCCCGGAACCAACCAAACTCACGAAAGAAGTCTGACTCGTATTGACTCTTCGGGGCATACGGGACACTGCAATTCAGTCATACGTGGCACGATGTCAAAAATGAAGCCTTTTCTTCAAGGAGTGCTTCCCAAGATGCCCGGGAACGGCCAGAAGAAGAGCCACGAGCCTGGGCTGCACACTTCGCACCTCCAACTCTCGTGCGACGTGAAGGCGTGGAGGCGTGGAGGCGTGGAGGCGTGGAGGCGTGGAGGCGTGAAGGCGCTTCCTTCGGCCCTCGGGCCGCCACGCGCCGTAGCTCGGCAGCAGCGTCAGAGCTGCCAGCGCCCCAGCCAGCAGCCCCAGGCCTTCGGCAGCTTCGGCTTTTTGTGACCAGTTGAGGCCCCCTCTCTTGATCTCTTTTCAAAGGCGGTGCGCACCTCCGATGGCGAAGGTGAAGCCACCGAACTTGCTGGCAGCCAGACCTAACAAGCATGCGAATGGCCCCATTCACTGCCCTCATCGCCATGGGACATCTGTCCTCGAGCTGCACAAGGGACTTCACGGAGACGGGAGTACAAATGATGGTGAGACACGGAGGACACGACCCGCTACGTTGTTTCGATCGGATGCCGACGCAAATAATATGAATAATGAAGCCACGCCGCTCTCCACGGTGGAAAGGAGGCCGCCGGACTCCAAGAAGCTCAGCCTCTCAATGGCAGGAGGCGCAAGCTCGAGTGGACTTGACACCCAAAACTCCCAAAACTCCCGTTCTTACCATCCCTAAAACCCAACTGCAAGAACTTAGAGTTGCAGGGCTGTGAAAGTAACATTTTGCTGTTGTTGTTGTCCTTGTCCATGTTGGTTCAAACTCTCTGGTTTGAGTGCAGGGTTAGGGAAGAAGGCAAGGCGTGGTTCGTTGGAGTTCAGGAAGATGGGTGTTGGGTGTTGTGATTTTATGGTGGGTTCGAGCGGAGGGTTGTTGCAAATAACTTTTCCGAAAACAACAACATACTCCAACCAGTACGTTTAAGGGATCAAGCTTTAGGTATGACCTTCAGCATTTCAGTCGAGTGGGGCCTGCCACTCTACTTTACGGGAAGCCCTTACGAGCTTCGAGCTCTCATGTCAAGCAGCGAGACGGGGCTTGATCTCTCCCCTTCCTTTCTGTACACCCCCCCCCCCTCCCCCGCCCTGTGGGAGCTGCCCAAACACCTCAAAAAGGGCGAAAAATCCGATGCTGCGGGATGCTGCGGGGTTCCAGGGTGTGGGCTGCCAGACCACACCAAACAGCACGAAGGTACCTGACCCCATCCTTCAAAACCGGAGTTTTTTGAAACCCTCCCTGCGCATTCTACACCCCGCGTTGGGCCGGCCCGGCTGGCGCAAGTGGTTACAATTACGGCAACATTCGGGTCCAGTTACCTGCCCGAACCTCCATCCTCTGCTTGTTACTGCTACATTTCTCGGAACTATTGCCCGCCTGAGCTACTCAGGCAACTTTTTGTACAATAGCTTACCTGCTGTCCTGAGCACCGTGTCATGTGATCCCGTGCCAGTTTGTCCTTAAGGCCGAATAATTAATAACTGCATCAGAATCTGAGCCTCAAGGCCTCGTGAGGACAAAAAACTGGGGCTTTGGCAACTTCAGGTCTTCCGTCAGCGTAAGCGGCCGGTCCACCAGGGAGCCAGCAAGGCCTGGCAATCTAATTTGGGGGGGGGGGGGGGGGACATGGGGCTCGGGGGGTTGAACACTTGTTGGTGACTCAAACCCTGCTTCCCAGCTCAGGCCACGGCTGAGCAGGCGGTTGTCCTCCAAGAAGGAGAGGAGGCGCTTCTGCTCGACGGTCTCAGAGGGCTCGGGGTTCCCAAAACCCCTCAACTTTCAAGAAATTTCCGGGATGGAGCCCGAAAAAAAGGACCCTAACCTCGAGCCTCCAGCAGCGAGGCGGAGCGGCTGACCTCCTGAGACTGGAAGCCGCTCTCGCCGTAGCTGACCTCCTG